AGAACTATCAAAATGCAACGGCTCGGTACTACAATTCTCACGTTAAGCATCGCCGCTTCCACGAAGGAGATCTTATACTGCGTAAAGTTTTCCTGAATACCGTCGAACAGAACGCAGGTAAGCTCGGCGCGAATTGGGAAGGACCTTACACGATCGCAAAGGTAATCCGTCCCGGCGTCTACGAACTCGTCAACATGAACGGCAAAGCGGTACCTAGATCCTGGAACGCAATGCATCTAAGGAAATATTACCGCTAAAAACCTAAGGTACGCATGTACTCGAACTACGGGGTGGCTTGATCCCTGAAAAGGGTACGTAGGCAGCTCGTCCTCGGACGAGTTCAGCTACCCCCCCAAATTAAAAAAGGGGGGAGTGGGTCCGTATACATATACTCCCACTAAATTTTTTAAATTCTCTAAGTTTTTACCCTTCGGATTTTCAATTTTATCCACCTCGACATCTATCCCGAAATTCATCTCGGGAACCTTTACGGTCTTCTTATCGACCCACAAAGCCAACAGTTCGTTCGGACGATGGCCACGTCCACGAATAGAGAGCTCATTTCACCGCTCCGGTTACAGCGCGCTATACAAGCATTCGAGACAATTCGGTCGGAGATATCTTGCCATAAAGAAATTGTCTTCAGAAAACCCAGTTGACTTCGACACTGGTACCCCAGTTCGCTTCTAAGCACTGGTTTCGACTATATCAGCTCGGGTCGCAACCGATAAAGATTAGTCCCACGTAGCCAAAACCCAGTTATCCTAACACTGGTGCACGATTAATTTCACTTTCGGCTCGAAGGTTGAAACGGTTCGGAAGAATTAACTTCTTAACGTCACACGCTTGCAAAAACCCAGTTACCTTGACACTGGTGAGTGATTCATTTTCTCGGCTCAGAAGTTAAAACGGTTCGAAAAGTACAACCCAGATTTACGAAAACCCAGTTACTCAACACTGATACCGAATTTGGTTCGGAAAAATCTCAAGATAAACAAAAACAAGTCAAGCACTTAAAAAGAACATTCATATCAAGTGGATAAAGCCATCCAGGCATAAGTTTTTACAAAAGAAACTTGAAACATGAAACAAAAGAAAGAAGAGACGCCTCGGGCTTATTCGTCTCGCTCCTCGACATGCGCTGCCGCAGGATTCAGAAACGTTCCCGCTTGATCGGTAACTCCGACTTCAACCGCGTCACTTTCCACTGATCTATTCCCGAGGCTGTCATGGGTAGAAACAGGAGACACCGGAGGAACGGTCAAGTCTCTGAGCAGCTCAGCCCCCAGCCTGGCGTATTCAGCCTCGGCACCTCCATACTCCTCTATCCATCGGGCGACCTCAAGCTTTTCTTCTTCCATCTTCCCCCCGGCTTCGAGCGCTTCGATCAGCTCGGCGTTGGCTTTCGCATGAGAAAAGTATACGTATTGCTCGGAGATTTTGTCGAACTCAGCCAGTTTCGCCTCGGTTAGCTTGACCTTCTCGACGAACTCCCCGACAATCTTCCGCTCACCAGCCTTCCTTGCTCGAGCCATCTCGGTCTCGCGAAGAGCCTTCTCCTCGGTAAGCAGGCGCCTAAAACGCTCGATTTCCGCCTCGGCCTTCCGACGGATACAAACGTTTTCCTCAGCCTCCTTTTGCCGCATTTCCCGCTCGGCCGTAATCAGAGCCTCGGCAGCTTGCTCCGCTTGAATCGCCTCGGTCGCTTTCCTCTCTGCATCGTCTCGAGCAGCCTCGATGCGCTCCCTCGCCATGGCGAATTCGCGGGCCGCGGAATCGTAGGAATGAACCAAAGTGTTCATCGACGAAAAGGCCTGGAGAACAAGACGCGTTAAGTATGAAACAAAGCTGGTTTATCTTGGACGAAAAATAAGTCAATACCTTCAAGAAATTGGCCGCGGTCTCGCCGTATCGTTCCGCCTCGACCAAACCCTCAGGGGCGGGAAGCAACGGCCAGACACAGGATGCAATAAGGTTGGCAGAAGCAACCTTATCTTGATAGATTGGGCGAGAAGAGCTATGAGCTTTTCTCGCTTTCTTGCGCCCGTCCGCAGAATACTCTCCTCGGGAACGTTTCCCTTTGGACTTCATCTGCCCACCAGCGGGCAAACCAACCACCAGAGCATTTCCCGCCTCGGGAACGCGGTAAGCAACATCCCCAAGTGGGATACCCTCGGGCACCTCGGAAAGAGCCACGTCGACTCCCACGGAATCGACAATCACCTCAGGGTCAGCGGTCGTCTCGTTCCCCCCAATCGCCTCGGGCGAGTTTACAGGCCCGAAAGCCGTTCTAATCATCTGCTCCTCTTCGCGCGCCTTCTTCTCGGCGGCTTTCTTTTCCCTCAGAGACATCTTGACTCCTTGCATTTCCGTTAAAAAACTGAGCCTCTGATCGGAAGAAGATGAGGAAGTAGAGCAAGACGCGCCGTGAAGAATCCTCAACGCCTTTTCAACCCTTGCTTGAGAAAAATGCTTGATCCAGTGACACTTCCGGGCAGCCAACTCCTCACGTACACTAAAAAGGTCCTCGGGAATACGATCCAAGAAGCTCTGGCCACGATCTGCAAAAAAAAAAAAAAAAAAAAGAACAATACGAGTTAGTTAAGGCAGTCAAGCTATAACACAAAGCAAGCAGAAATCTCGGATAAACTACCAATCTTTCTCCATTTGCCAATCATGTTTTCAAGGCAGCCCTCGGGGACACAATCCTCGTCAAGGGCGACGAAGAAGAAATGATCAATGTACTTCTCGTCTTTGCTCGGGAAACCGCCAATAACCCTTCGCTTCGGGCGAGGAGAAATATAATACCTCTCCATCTCGCAGCTCGGAACGCGGCGAATCTCCAGCAAATTCCTTAGATGATCAAGGCCGATATTATTGTACGTCTCAAACCCACGCACTAAGATCCCAACCAAATGTCGAAGGCCTCGGGTCGTGATCTGGGCCAAAGCCAGCTTATACGACCACAGATACTCGATGATTGGTCTCGGGATTGGAAACCAGAGGAAGCAGAAGTAGAAAAATCCTTCATACAAGGTAAAGAACCCCTCGAGAGGATCATCAGCTCTCTCATTAGGGGTCGGCAACCGCAGAGTCACCCCTTCGCCGAAATTAAAGCGTGCTTTTAAGTCTCGAAGAGAGTCTGAAGTCGACAGGGTGGAACCAGGAGGATCAGGTTTTTTCACTTTCTTGGCTCGGGTTTTCTTCCTTTGAGCTATTGCACCTTGAATTGCCAACTGAAGGAGCCTGGCTCCCTCCTCGGGATCATAAGCAACCATTTCACCCTTCACCTCGGGTAAATTCGGCAGCTCGGGCACATCTTGCCAACGAGAAACACCAGCCTCATCCGAAGATGGAGGACGTGTCCTCCTATTCAAAACCGCCTCGGGGTCATCAGGGAGATCCTCATCCCGAGCTATATTAGCAATTGTATCTTCCCGAGCCACAAATTGGCTCGGATCTCCTCGTTGCTCAAATGACGATTCCGCTCCGCTGCTCGGCTTGGTTTGACCTAATGAACTAGCCTCAGATCCACTTGAACTGCTCCAAACCATCTTTCGTTTATAAACAGGGACACTTCTACCTCGGGATGAATCACTGGAGTCTGAAAGAGACATTCGCTGGCTCGGAACGATCGGAGAAACAAGACCTAGGAGATCGGCAAAATCGAATCTAGACCTAACCACGGCGGAGACACGACGGAGATAAAACGGAAAAAGAAACTAAGAGAGAAATCAAGATCAGAGCAAAAGAAACAAACCTTTGGGTTTTTGCTCGAAAATTGCTGAACTGAAGAAAGAAATTGTGAGACGAGTACTTATAGAACACTTCGGCGCGTCAGACGCGCGTGAGCTCGGAGAGAGTTTCACGTCCGCCGAAATCTCGGGAATAAGCAAAAAACCTTTCCACTTCTCGAGAAGGAAACTCAACCGTTTCACGCAAGAAGAAGGAGAAACGCCAAAAAGATTCGAATCTCCGAAGAATATGAACCGTCAGAGAAATATAAATTGCCTCTGCGCACAAGGATAAGCTCAGAATAGAGCTTAAACCGCTCGAGTTAGTAATCATGAAGCTCGCCACTTGCTCCTCAAGGCAACGAGCTGGGGGGCTAACTGTTGGGGTCGGATTCCACCCGCGTTAAGACCGAGCCAAGACTTGATATCTCGGGAACTATGACTGGGCAGCTCGGGATCACTCGCCGAACTGGCTCGGTGAACGGCGACAAAATTGGCTCGGGATCAGTCTCCAAATCGGCTCGGGTTAAGACGTGATTAAACTGGTTCGGGTCATCTTGCTTCAGCTCGGAAATTGAGCTAATCGGTTCGGGTATGACTTGGCTAATAAATTATAATACCCGAGCCCCATCCAGACAGGTACCCGAGCCGATTTGCCATCCTTACTTCCGAGCCCGTTCGTAACACAGCCTTCCGAGCCAGTCTAAGCACCAAGACATCCGAGCCGGCAAACGGTTCGGTCACCGAAGAAAAATCATCAGTCACCCGAGGCGAAGACTTAGCAAATATTCGCCTTCAACGTACCATTTCCGAAGGAATGAACCATTTCCGAAATACTCGGAAATGATAAAGGAGAATCTAGAAGGATCGACTCAAATCAGGAAATCTTCCAAAAACTCCGAAGAATAAGGAAATTATCCTAATCCGCGGTATTCTAGCCGACTTCAAGATAAATGGAAATCTTCTGAGAATATCACTGGAGAGGCGGCTTACCATCCCTATATAAGAAGACTCAAGGCTCTCACAGAAGGGCAAGCAATATCGCTCTAGAATTTACACTACGCAAAGCTCTCACAGCACAAACATCTTTTCTTTTACGATCAAACTCTTGTACGATCAAAACTACTCTTTTCATCAATAAGATCAAGAACACCATCTTTGGTTACAATTGTTTCTGTTGTTCTTTGAGAATTCACATTTATCGTATCCCTAAATTAAAACCCTAGACAAATCTCGATTGTGTTAGTTTCGACTTCCACATTGGACGTATCTATGTCGACGAGCTCTGCACGTGGCATCGAGGTGTACCATTCAAATCTCTAACAACCGTTGGATCATCTAATCTAACGGTCTAAAACATCTCTTCCTCAAAGCCGTTCATAACTCTCAAAAACCCAATCGGCAACAGCCGTGTATCGGAATTACCAAAAAAGCCAACTGTCCCCACGTGTCTTGTGAACTTCATTCTTCTCTTTGCAGGGGCTTTTTTGTAGTTTAACCAGGACCCTCCTCTGAGTACACCTAAAAGTCACAGTCACATGGCTGGTGACACAGACATGCGACCAATACGCTTCTCCTTCTAAACCGTCGATTTAATTACATCTAACTCTAAGATCTCGCCACGTGTCACTTTGATTTAGAAAACTCGTCACAGTCCCGTGAGTGAAGAATCACCCAGATACCAACAGCTACCAGCTTTTAAAAACCTTCTCTCATCCTCTTCCTCAAAGCCTCCTCCTTTTTAATCTCACCATGAATGTTCTGAGAAACTGAAGAACAAATTTGAGTCATTTTGATAAATTTACGAAGATGGTTTCGGTGGAGGAACCGTTATCTCATTCCAATTCCAATCGCTTTCCGTTAACAACCGATTTCTACGGTTCATCTTCGCCGTCGGCGGCGAGGTTACACCGTCAAGCTGGCCGGTCGATGAGGACAGTGAGATCTAACTTCTACCAAAGCGGTGATCAATCTTGCTCATTCGTAGGCTCAATCGGCGATAAGTCGGAGTATGCGTCGGAGTTTCTGTCGGATTCCGTCATCGACATGAGACTCGGAGAGCTTGCTTTGAAAAACAGTAATTCTCTCAATTCAAACGCTTCCTCAATGAAAGAGGAAGCGTTTCTTGACATTTCTCAGGCGTTTAGTGATTTTTCCGCTTGTAGTAGTGATATCTCCGGCGAGTTACAGCGTCTAGCTTGCTTGCCGTCGCCGGATTCTGAGAGAAATGAGAGCGGCGGAGATAACGAAGCGGCGCAGGATCCAGAGTTAGAGAGGGAGCCTTGTCTAGGGTTTCTACAGAGGGAAAACTTCTCTACGGAGATTATTGAGTGTATTTCGCCGGAAGATCTGCAACCAACTGTGAAACTCTGTATTGACGGACTTCGCTCTACTTCGGTGGCGATAAAGCGATCTGCTGCGGCCAAGCTGCGGCTACTGGCGAAGAATCGAGCGGATAATCGTGTGTTGATTGGGGAATCTGGAGCTATTCAAGCTTTGATTCCACTTCTTCGTTGTAACGATCCATGGACGCAAGAGCACGCAGTTACAGCTCTCTTGAACCTCTCTTTACACGACCAGAACAAAGCTGTAATCGCCGCAGGAGGAGCGATTAAATCACTAGTGTGGGTTCTCAAAACTGGGACGGAGACTTCAAAGCAGAACGCTGCATGCGCGTTGCTTAGTTTGGCGCTATTGGAGGAGAACAAAGGCTCAATCGGAGCCTGTGGTGCGATTCCGCCGCTGGTTTCTCTTTTGTTGAACGGATCTTGCAGAGGCAAGAAGGATGCTCTGACGACGCTTTACAAGCTATGTACGCTTCAGCAAAACAAGGAGAGAGCGGTTACTGCCGGAGCGGTGAAGCCGTTGGTGGATCTTGTGGCTGAGGAAGGGACTGGAATGGCGGAGAAAGCGATGGTTGTTTTGAGCAGCTTGGCAGCGATTGACGAAGGTAAAGAGGCTATTGTTGAGGAAGGAGGGATCGCAGCGCTTGTTGAGGCCATCGAGGATGGATCTGTGAAAGGGAAAGAATTTGCGATCTTGACGCTTTTGCAGCTTTGTTCTGATAGCGTTAGAAACCGTGGGTTGCTTGTGAGGGAGGGCGCGATTCCTCCGCTTGTGGGTCTCTCTCAGAGCGGCTCCGTCAGTGTTAGAGCCAAGCGCAAGGTACAAAACAATCATATTCTTCTGTTACGGATTAGATTCTTCTTAAGTATTGATGTCTGTCTGCTCTGTGATTTATCGTGAGATCTCGAATCAGATCTAGTTTTTGTTTTCCTTTAGTCCAAAAAACATAGTCACTGATGTAGTAGATCCATTTGAGAATTGTGATGTGAATTCCATATATTAGCAGGGTCAGCTTTGTTCAAATCTTTGGTAAAATGTATGAAAAAGCTTTGAAATTGATAAAGATTCATCGATTTGTATGGTGCAGGCAGAAAGACTTCTGGGGTATCTACGTGAGCCAAGGAAGGAGGGAAGTTCATCAAGCCCTTGAAATGCAACCATGTGGAGGTTTCATCAGTCTAGTATGTATATACTGAGTGTATGTTTGGTGGTTTTGTATAGTGTCTTTGTGTAGACTGTAAAAGAGAGATCAAATGATTACCAGAAACTTGACTGACTTTTGATCTCTCTCATGTATTGATGATTAAGCTAGTTTTTGAGGGGTTTCAAGGGAGAGTGCTTGTTTGGATTACAAGTCTAGCATTCAGGTTTTGGCTTCTGGTTTGTGAGGTGGGGTGGATTATGCTGATTTTTAAGGCAAAAAGCTTGTAGTAGCGTCGGCAAAATGCTTGTTCAAGAACTAAGCAATTTTTAATCGATATTTCTTGATCAAATTGTTTTAACTTTTAACTCTATCTGGATCAATTATTGTAGGATCTTTCGAGTGTTTGTCTGTGGATCTGTGTCTTTGCCGGTGGATCTGGTAGATGATTTGTGTGTCAGCATATCTGGCACCACTTGTATTGTCTTGTCCTACAATAGTAAATGGTTAGCGTTGAAACAGTAATTTGTCCCACCACTTTGACATTGATAGTTATGACTCCTCTCAAAAGTAAGCAATTCACTTATTAAGCTGTTGCTTTGGCTGCACAAAGCTGTCTGCTGTGTGCTTTTGTAAACCCTTTCTTTGGGAAAATTCACGTTGGAAGAAGTTTTGCTTTGAATCATGTTTTTTGAGGTTTTAAAAGGTCTTGATAATACGTATTCCAATCTGGTTTCATACAATATAGAATTAGGAACTGGCAGCGATAATAGTAAAAATAGAGAGAGAAAGAAAAGTGATCATTATCGTCTTAAGCGGTGTCGACTTCTTTGCCCTTCTTGTTCCTCCGCCGCAAGAGACTGGGCTTGTAGCCGACTTCGAGCAACTTCTCGACCTCCTCAAACTGAAGCCCTTTGGTCTCAGGAACGAGCAGCCAAATGAAGAATAGCCCGATCGTGGAGAAGCCAGCAAAGAGAAGGAAGGTCCCAGAGGAGCCAAGAGCATGGGTGAGTGAGAGGAAGCTCTCACTGACAATGAGATTGGACACCCAATTTGAGACGGCGGCTATTCCTCCACCAAGACCTCTGTATCTTAGCGGATAGATCTCAGAGTTGACAATCCACGGGACAGTGCCCATACCTGGTGCGTAGACTACGATGTAAAGCCCCAAAAACACTATTGCTAAGAACCCAAACTTGCTTGGACATCCATCTTTGAAGAATGTTCTTCCTCTTGAGCTGCAAGTTGCTTTCATCTCGTCCGACAACACCACACATGCTCCTGGTGCATACGGCTGTACTCCGCTGGCGCAGAATCCACATTCAGACCTGAGACACTTCATGCAGTTCCATCTCGAGGGAGGAGCGTTTTCGGCTGCGAGAGGGGCATATGCTGAACAAGTAGCATTTGGAGCAAACATCCTTGACTCCAGCGCATCGATCTTGGGGGCGTGAATGGCCGCTTGTGAGAACACGATGGCTAAGATGATAAGACATGTTATGATCCCAAACATAGAGATGATCATAAGCTTCCTTCTCCCGTACCGATCGACAAACATCATGCTCACAATCGAACCCAACGCATTCAAACCAGAAGTAATGAGAGACAAGGCCATAGCTGTCTTGTTGGAGGCGTAACCAGCAAATTGCACAATTGAAGGACTGTAGTACATGACAGTGTTGATCCCCACAAACTGCTGTGCCACCTGCACTGTGATACCAGCAGCAAGTCCACGTCGAACGACGGGATTTCCGAAAGCTCCTTTCATTTTCGCGGTGAAGCTATCACCGATGATTGCCTCATCTGCTTTCTCTGCCTCCACTGACTGTTTCAAAGCTTCCATCTCCGCCTCCACTTCATCCGCCGGGTAAATCCTCTCAAGGATCGCTCTCGATTCCGCAACCCTATCCTTTCTATATAACCACCTTGGAGACTCAGGTAGCGACAACATGAGCACAAACTGAACTATGGCTGGAATTCCCGCAACACCCAACATCCATCTCCATGTTCCCGGAGTCTGTTCACAACATTTTCAATCAAAACTAAGAGACTTTCTCAGTTGATGATATAACAACACAAGAACTTGAAACTAAATCATTTCACTTACATGGACAAAAGCAAGATTGATGAGGTAAGAGAAGAATTGTCCTCCAGTGATGAGAAGACCATTGGTACTAACAAGTGCACCTCTAATCCTCGCCGGAGAAGCTTCAGAGATGTACAACGGCGACGTCATCGAGGCCATACCAACACCAAATCCGACAAAGATTCTTCCAACAATGATAACCCACGGAGCCGGAGCAAATGCCATCACAATCGCACCGATCAAGAAAAGAACATCAGCGATAAGAATCGACATCCTCCTACCAAACCTATCATTGATCCAACCTCCGATTGCTGCTCCGACGATGGCTCCAGCCACTGCCATACTAACAATAGTTGACTGAAGCCATGTTTTCTTATCAACTTCATCAAAGTCCTCCTTGATGAAGAGAAGAGCCCCGGAAATGACTCCGGTGTCGTAACCGAAGAGAAGACCTCCGATTCCGGCGGAGAGAGCAAGTCTCATGATGTAAGGTGTCTTCCATGTTGTTCTCCAACACTCAGTGAACTCTGTTTTGTCTGCTTTCGCAATTCCTCCTTCCACCATTGTTTCTTTAACTCTTCTTGTCTGATCTCTCTGAATGTGATTCTCTTAGTAGAGAAAAGAGAGATTCTTCTCAATCGTTACCTGCGATTCACAATAACAAAACCCAGAAACTGTTGATTATATAAAGAGAGATTAAACGAATATACTCGAAATGGGAAATTAAAATCCTCATCTTCTATCATTAAAGCTTTTAAGATTTTCGTTTTGTTCCTTTCCATTTAGACAGATCTTATAGTCAAGTCAACAATTAGATTAGACCAAACCGAATAAGACAGGCAAGTGAAAAAAACATAATAAGTTAAAAAAAGGGAAAAGTTCAAGTCGTACCAGAGTTTTTTTATTTTAGAACACAACAGAGACTCAGAGAGTGATACGAGAGATAAAATAAAAGGATAGAAGATGAGATGAATTTGGATAAGATTCTCTTAATTATAAAGTTGATTAAGTGGGACCCATATGGCTTAATTACTTTTGACCATCTCGTATTAATCTACTATGGTTAGTTCCGAATTTCACGAGATTCTGGGTAAAAAGTAAAAAGGAGAGATGACTAATCTCTGTGATTTACTACCATACTTCATGATTATCTCTTTCAGAAGATTACCGAAAAGATAATCTTATGGATAAATACTAAATTTAATTTCCAAACCATAAAATATGAGCCAATCTAAATCCTAATGCATGCATTCGTCAGAATATGATTTGTTTATTGGTAATCAACAGAAAAATAAAGCAGGGAAAATTTTGAAAGATGTGATGATGATATCCTCAAATTACATCAATCAGATTTTTACAGAGCAGGGAAATTTTTTTACCTGGGCAAATAACACTCTTAATATGATTTCCCAAATCTCGATCGAGTAAACAAATATTTTTCTCTGAATACTGTTTTAGTTAACACTTTGAAACAAAACAAGAATGAATGTCCTATGGATTTGCGAAACTGAATTTATAGAGAATAAACTCAGATTGAAATGCTAAATTTAGAAGAAGAAAAAAAAGTTAACAGTGACAATTTGATGCTAAAACAAGTGGTCTAACTAAATATCCAATAATTAAGGATAAGAATTATTCACTGGAAAATGGTTACGTTTAGTGGTTGTGTTTTCTTCTCAAAAACCCATTAGTCAAAACAAAAACTGTATGTCCTAAAAAGTTGTGTTAGTTAATAACTGTAACAGTTGGATCTGGCTATTATTGGTAAATGAGTAACATAAGTTTATATCAAAATTTCAAGTTGGAAGAAAAGTCTTCGCACGAGGAACTTCATCAACATATTTCAAACACAGATGTGCTATTTTTAAGCTAGCCAAACACGAAAAATTGAATTACCTGTCTTTTTTAAAAAAGCATCTCCTAAAGTTGTGTTAGCTTAATTATTCGTATGTCTTTCCTCTTTTGTTCTCTCTTATCATCTCCTCTCTTTCACTTGTCTTCTATATTTTTTTTCTGTCAAACATGTTAACATATTTGAATGGTTGCATAACTTTCATTGCTTAATGTGCAATGAATTTACTTAAAAGTAAGTAAATTTAAATGGTTAATGTGCAATGAATTTGAATGGTTGCATAACTTGCATTGCATTGCTTAATGTGCAATGAATTTGTATGGTTGCATAACTTGTATTGCAAAACACATTTATTTTATTTCTTTATTTAAAGTTGGCTTTTGATAAATATTTTATATTTATGTTTCTCATAAAAAAAAAAAAAAAAAAAAAAAAAAAGTAATAGGACAAAACAAAAGAAATATGTCAAGAGTGGGATTTGAACCCACGCCCTTTCGGACCAGTACCTGAAACTGGCGCCTTAGACCAACTCGGCCATCTTGACTATCTGATGAATAAAGACACAAAGATTTATATCAAACATATTAACAAAGTTAAACCCTTTCCACAGTTCTTGAACCCTAAATTCGAGAACTTTAATTGATGGCACAATTTCTCCATCGGAGGGTTAATGTTCGTTTTCTGAGAATGAAAACGTTAATATCTTCTTCTCTGTCTCACAAATCCCACTCTCAGATCCTCTGCTTCTCTCTGAATAAACTTGCCATGATTTACTCTCAGAAGTTGTTACAAACAGAGGCCTCTCAGTCGTCGGCTTCCGGTCCTATGTTTTCCGGCAATGCGACGACCATCCTACGCCGGATGCTAGCGGAGAGGAGAATTGGCAGGTTTTTCTTCTCAAATCCTATCTCAATTTCGAAATTCATTTGCCTGATTTTTGTTTGAAATGTATAAATGCTGAACCTTTTTATAATTCTGCTATGATCATCTCTTACGAGATTGTAAAGTCTGAATCTTGTTTGGTTCACATGTAACATGTTTTAGCTTTCAGGTGGAGAATCAGAGAAAGAAAGAGAAGTTAGATAAGACATTAAAGGGTCTGTGTGTTACTGGGAGATTGAAAGAAGCTGTTGGGTTGTTATGGCGTAGCCGGTTGCAAGTCGAGCCTGAGACTTATGCTGTGCTGTTGCAGGAATGTAAACAAAGGAAGGAATATACCAAAGGGAAACGGATTCATGCTCAGATGATTGTTGTAGGATATGCTCCCAATGAGTATTTGAAAGTTAAGTTGTTGATACTTTACGCCTTATCAGGGGATCTTCAAACCGCTGGGATTCTTTTTCGTAGTTTGGAGATTAGAGATTTGATCCCGTGGAATGCGATGATATCTGGGTATGTGCAAAAGGGTCTTGAACAAGAAGGGCTTTATATTTATTATGATATGAGACAGAACGGAATAGTTCCTGATCAGTATACTTTTGCTTCAGTGTTTAGAGTTTGTTCTGCGTTAGCATCGTTGGAACACGGTAAGAGAGCTCACGCTGTGATGATAAAGCGCCATATTAAGTCGAACATTATAGTTGATAGTGCCCTTGTTGATATGTACTTTAAATGCAGCAGCTTCTCTGATGGCCACAAAGTATTTGATCAATTGTCCACTAGAAACGTTGTTACGTGGACCTCATTGATGTCTGGCTATGGATATCATGGAAAAGTTTCAGAGGTGTTAAAATGCTTTGAGAAGATGAAGGAAGAAGGTTGTAGACCAAATCCGGTTACATTTTTGGTGGTTCTCACTGCGTGTAACCATGGAGGTTTAGTTGATAAAGGTTGGGAGCATTTCAATTCTATGAAGAGAGATTACGGGATTGAACCTGAGGGACAACACTATGCAGCTATGGTTGATACGTTAGGGCGTGCTGGTAGGCTACAAGAAGCGTACGAATTTGTAATGAAGTCACCATGCAAGGAGCATGCTCCGGTATGGGGTTCTTTACTTGGGGCTTGCAGGATTCATGGGAATGTGAAACTGCTAGAACTCGCAGCTACAAAATTTTTGGAGTTGGATCCAACGAATGGGGGGAATTACGTGGTGTTTGCCAATGGATACGCGAGTTGTGGATTCCGTGATGCTGCTTCAAAGGTTAGGAGGAGGATGGAGAACGCAGGAGTTAAAAAAGATCCCGGGTATAGCCAGATCGAATTACAAGGGGAAGTTCATAGATTCATGAAGGATGATACGTCTCACAAACTCTCAGTAAAGATATACAAGAAGGTCCACGAGATGACTTCATTCTTTATGGATATTGACTACTATCCAGATGACTTAGAATCTAGCTGTCCTGTTTGATGGACTGATATGTCGTCTTGTCTTGCATTGTTTGACCGCGCTGAAAGAAATTTGTTTCCGACGATACTGTTGCAGTTTCTCATATTAAGCCTGGAAGAGAGAAAAGGCATGCTGTGGAGTCAAATATTGGGTGATTATGGAGAAACTCCAGTGCTAGACTCTGCCAAATCTGTTGTGGTTCAGACACAAGTTTTGATGGACGGGCATTAACAAATTGGTTGGTAGAATGTGATTTGTAGATAATTTAAGATGGTGGTCTGAATTTGGATTGAATAGAAATATAATTGATGTGAACTCAAATCTTTGGACAATGTAAATAGGTCCTATTCTCTATAGCTACTTCTCATGTCCTATTGTTTCGATTTAATTTATTTTTTTAACAAGTATTATTTCATGGTTTTTTTTTGTTACATACATTTACTCACATCCATACATTCAAATCATTGTAATGGTGTTCTTTGGACACTTGTAGCATATCTTTTTTACGGAACCACAAGTTATCCTCCAAAGCTCTAGAGAAATTACGGTACCCGCATCAACTTCTAATCTCAACTAAACACATCCAATCACCTATCTTCTTTTTTTTGTTCAACTAGTACATCCAATCACCTATCTATGTTAACCTTTTTGAAGTACATTCTAGAGAGTAACTTTTGTTTAAGTAACTATTTACAAAGAATGCTATTACTTATATCTACGTATCCAAACATTTTTATAATTAATTATCTACGATCCATATAACCAAACACAATTAAAAGATTTTAACATTAATTATAAAATTATTAATATCAATATAATGTTCAACGATTAATAATATAGATATTTAGCATATTTTGTTTAGATTTAAAATTAGGATTCTCCAATCATCTAGATTTGATTTTTTGTTTTTAATTATTTTGAACCATCATATAATACATAAAAATAATAAAAATCTAAAAGAATGCTGCATATATTGTGATTCGAATTTTGAAAAAAAAAGTACATACTTTACTCAATTAATGATAAATATGTGTTCCACGTTCCACATCGACTAAAATGTTTAGACAATGATTCAGAGTTATGTTATGATTGATTTTGTTTTATTTTTCTGGATATTAGTTGTTATGGTTGATTTTGTTTAGACTTTAGACAATGATTCAAATTTGAATAATTTCCTCATTTCTCATCCTTTTTTGGTTCTGTAGTGTGACAAGTCACCTCATTTTCCATCCTTCTTCGATGATGTAAACATGTGGACACACAGAGGCTGGAACTCTGATCCCTATTTGAAGATGCGTTCAGACTACTTTGTACCTCAATGGAAATACTACGAGCATGTAGTCATTTATTATATTCTGATTTTGATTTTGTTTTAGGTTTTGCTAAACCAAGATTCTGATTTTTATTAATTGTGGTGGAATTTTGTTTTCCATTGTGTGTTTCTCTAGATATAGTTGTTATGGTTGATTTTCTCTTAGCTATTGCTCTGATTTTCATCGATTTTGGTGGAGTATTCTTTTCCATATACATTTCTCTAGATATTCGTTGATTTTGTCTTAGGTCTTGCTAAAATAAGATTCTGATTTTCATTGGAGTTGTTTTTTCTTCCATATGCATTTCTCTAGATATTAGTTGTTATGGTTGATTTTGATTTAGGTCTTGCTCTGATTTAGAAAAAAATGATTTCTAGAGCCAAAAAAATTAATTAACAAAATATTTTGGCTATGAGTAAAAAAGGAAAACCAAAACTTCTAAAACTTGATTTGATCCACCAAAACTTTTAAAAAAAAATTTGTTTTGTAAAGTTTGTAAAACACTTGCCAATCAAGCCAGTAATCTATATACAAAGTAATGTAGGTCTCATGGCCATTCCCAAATGGTAAAGGCAGCAACACCGCTACATAAAGCAATGGAATATGAGACCTTTTCCGGCTATGCTTCCAAAGGAGAAGCCATTAGTATGCTCCTTCTACGTCTTCGCCTTGCCGAAATTAATTTTAGTTTGTGGCGTTTACTTTTAGGGTTATGCAACCATAATTTTAGATCACCCCTAGACAAAGTAACTGATTTTTTGGAGAAAAAATTGTGTCAAGAAACATAGATACTTACTAGAATCTAAACTCGAGATCAAAATCGAATTGCAAACGAAAAACAAAAATTGTATATATAGAACATAATTAGAAGATGCGAGATTATGAAACTTGAAATCTACAAAGCACTATTTATAAGAAATAGTGCGAAACCCTAATTAATTCGAGATTATTTAATACTTTACCCAACCCAAAAACAAAGAATAGGTCCATTAAATCAAATAAAATAAAAAGACATAAGAAAAAACCAAATTGCTTTCATTGAGAGTTGAACTCAAGACCTCCCGCTTACTAAAGGGGTGCTCTAACCAACTGAGCTATGAAAGCTACATGACAGTAGTTGCACAATGATAGCTTTAGCATAGGACACAACTTGGATGCTACAATGCCAACAAACATGTCTACTAAATAGTTTCGTTATATGTATATGATAATCTCAGTTAAACTTCTCTTCACATTTATCATCGTTGTTCCGTTGTTCAATTGAATCTAACAAATGTTAGCTTTTTTTCTCCCCACAAATACTTTATCAGTAAACTTCCATCCTTCTCTCTTTATAACCCATATATTTATCCACAGCTCCATGTCTGGGACTAGCAAAAAAGATTTACATTTTTAGAGATCACCTCGTAGCTCCTATTGTTATTTTCTCTGTTATTGTTGTAATATTGTGTAAACTGACAACTTCTTCTGGCATCATCCGCTTGGCCATCCTTCATTCTCAAAGATTCAAACCTTTAATGTATATATATCTTTCTATACCTCAATCAATAACAAAAGAATTGTCAAACTTATTATCTTGTTCAGCAAAAGAGATTACTCAGCTATGATATCTCACTCTCGTTTCTTCTTCCGAACTACAAATGATAAAAGCCGGATAGGAGATGGCTGTGACAAGAAAAGAAAAGTGAAGAATATCATGTAATCCCACTTGTATTTGAAAACAAATATGGTCAGTTTCTTAGATGTGTCTCCAAAACAATAATACTTTCACTTTTACAAACAATAATTCATGAGGTTCTCTTTCAAGTTGTGAACTCTAGTGAAGCTGAGGTTCTGTTGACACAAGTAGAAGAAGCAGTTAGTAAATAACATGAGAGAAAAAGGTGACTTAATTTGTAATCATCATCCAAAGTATATATCAACCCTTTTAAATACTTTGCAAGTTATTAACGAACCTTGTGTTTGGGAATGTGAAAAGAACCTCTCTTGCTGGCCCTTTGCTCTCACCAGTCGTTTTACTCGACTCAGACGTAGCCCATTTGACATGGCACCTGTCCATTAATGACGACGTAGCCTTAATTAACAAAGATAGATCTCTCTCTATGTATGAAATTGACTTAGCTAGCTTAATTACATCTTGTCTTTGCGTCTGTTGCTCCTGTGTTGCTTGACTCTGCACCAGTACTAGAGCTGGACTTGTTCAGTGTCCTCGCCAGATGTTTCAGACGAGTCAGCCGTATAGTCCCCATCAGTTTAGCCAGCTCTTCCACTGGTATTGCCACACCTGCATGTCCCCAAACACACACATGATACACACTTTCACAACAATTTTGTTTTTGTATTTCCATTAGTTAGATTGAGAGACCCTCACTCTGATCAGACTCAACCAAGCTGGCTCCAGAATCAGGCGGTGAGATCACTGCTGCTTGGCTGCCTCCACTGATTGCTTGGATCTGAGAGTCGAGGCGGTTTATCTCAGCTTTCTGCCTTCTCAGCTGATAGTTCTTGCGGCGCCGTGCCAAATGCCTTTCCCTCTCATCTTGGCTCATAGATTGTCTTCTTTCTCTGTCTCGTAGACGCCGTCTTTCCCTTTCCTGCTCCTTCCTACTACTACTCCTAGATCCCACTGCCTCTCCCTCCATTCTATTGCTCGCATATGACTCTGTATTAACTCAGGATTCAATGATATTTATAAGGATAAAACTCTGTACAGATCAGTTGTGATGGTGCAAGAGTTATTTATACCCAAAATCAGAATTTCCGTAACATGACCGGACAGAAAAATAAAAGAATAAACATTTCTGTGTGGATCTATCGAACCAATAAACCCTAGGCTCAGACTACTTGACAAACACGTTTTAGAACCGACGAACCCTAATTTCGTAAGAACCACATGAAGAAAGCAAATCTTTTGGCGAACAAAAACACCTAATCAATCATCACACGGCACTCGCAAAACCCGAGCGTCATGAGAGTGGATAAGAACTACGAAGCGATGATGCGTGTGAAGAAGATTGTAGTCGATTCGAAATTGAAACGATGCGAGAGAAAGAGATTCAACAACTGACCTGAACATACGTCACCGAGTTGAAGCGTCGGCGATTAAGGGATGAGGATTCGACGAACGTTTTCTTTCTCCCAACAAATGTTTATCCTGTCTTTTTTATTCGATTAAATTTTTAAGCAACGTTATCATATGTGATTTATGACATCCTAATTATTACATTATCATATTTGCCTAATATATAGATAGGTGCATTCCATTTAAATTATTTGCTTTCTAATTATTACATTATCATATTTGCCTAATATATAGATAGGTGCATTCCATTTAAATTATTTGCTTTCTAGATTTCTTTGGTTTTCTGCATTTCGTGCGCTATACCGTTGGATTTTGTGTGTGGTTTCCGTCGACAGCAAGACAATCTCTAATCTCATTGAAAAACCGGTTGGATTTAGTAGGCATGTCATTCATGCCAACTAGGATCAGAGCTCGCGGGCTATCCGGCCCAATCTTAAAAATACACTGGAATTGGACTTAAATATATGCCCAATAATAATTGTGCTTTTTGGGATGTCTAATTTAATTTTACAAACTCAACTCTATGTATTTCCTTCAAAAAAAAAAAAAAAAAAACCCAACTCTATGTATGTTCCTAAATCACCTTAACACATGTACAAGGGAACCAACATGAAAACATCAATGAAGTGAGAACACAATAGTTTTCACTTTCTCTGTCACCATATTAAGTTGAAATCAGGATTATGGCTCTTCGCTCGACTTAATAACACAACCATCTTATGATACAAATTTAGAGAAAATATGAGTCGTGCAATGTATAGATTTTTTTCTTTACCGTGTAAAAAGGATTTTTCATAAGGGATACAAATGGACAAAACGTGACCTCCAAATGTGAATCTAAGCGAGACGTGAGAGGAAGAGATAGTGTTATCTCCAAAAGAACGCCCAAACTAGTTTAGCTTGAGGCGATGTGAGTGATGATAATGTTCCTATTGATGACATGTGATCATTATAAGAAGAGAAATAGAGAGAAAACTAAAGGTACCCCTTCAATTGAGACATGCTCCTTTTATTGACTTATGCCCAGATTCAAAGGTCCTATCTCTAGTTTAGTCTCGTCGATGTTACCATTTCTACATATGCAACACATTTTGACAACAACTATGTCGAAAGTGAGGAGAGGACGCAGTAGTTAAGCATGAAAATAATGCAAATGAGACCAAATTAAGAGGCAGAACAAAATATAATAGATGTGTGATGCATCGAGGTGTTAGACATAGAGATCCTAGCCATGACGACAACTTTATCGATGAACTCATCTCGTCTAAACATTGGCGGACTCTGACAAATTAGGAGGGCCTAGGAAGATCATATATTCCATCAACAAGGCAAAGCCCATCTGTCCTCTCAACGAATCAATTAGATCGACTCTAACTTTTACCTGTTGATACATGCATCCTCTGCACAACAAGAAACCACAGGGGAAGAAGCTACAACATCTAATTGCTTTGAGTGCACCAATCACCTCTAGGATACAATGGCAATCCTAGAAGAAATCATTTACAGCCCAAACCACAATAACCTCAACATAGCTTTGACTTTGCACCAGAATAATGTCACAGGGAAATTCCAGAAGCTGGATAGACAATGAGCACCAATAATTTTTCCCAGGACAAAGTGCCTAGAGGGATTCGAATGCAGCTGCTCCTAGTTTCATCTGGAATGATACATCTATCCACAAACCAATACTTAGACAACAAAGAAACCTATCAGACTAGTCCAATTGCAGCACTAAAGATTCCTTATTGCAACATCACTCACAATCACAAAGAATCTATCACCACAATTCGCTGTCTCAAATCTTATTGATCATCATCAGGTCATAACAGACAAACAGAGGCACATATTATCCTCAAACAGCAGAGAAATTCAAACAAATTACAGAGAAAAGAGGGTTTCAAATTCGAAAATGAAGCCACCAGATCCAGAAAATAAACCTAAAGTCATTTGGAGAAACCACCACGCTTCTGGTAACTAGCAACCTCACCATCATTAGGGAAAAACCCCATGAGTCTACCGGCAGAGTTCTGGTACGCATACATGAAACCTCCCATGAGTCCGATCAATCCTCCAGTCACCATTGATGGTCCCTTAATCCCAGGCTTAATCCCTACAAAATCGCCAATTCCAAATCAGCACATTCTCAACCTACAAAATCAGAACTTCAAAAGAGAGAGAGGGAGGTGTATGGATGGACCAGAGAGATAGCCGACGGTGACGGAGATGCCAGTGATAGTAGAGAAACGGAGGTAATCGAGGGTGCTGAAATTGCCGACGACTTTAGTAAAAGCAGGATTCCGATCAACCACTGGGTATTGTGGCTTCTCCAAGGCAGTGATGTCAGTATTCATTTTCGATCGACGAATCTCTGATTCTATCTTCGTTTTTGCTTTTCCGATCAAAATCTATCTCTAGGTTATATTCATTTCAACAGAAGCTGAGAGTCTCTATTTCGTCTAGAGGCTTTTCTCTTTGACCCATAAATTTTCTTTGTTGGGCTTTCTCGTAACAGACCCTAAATGGGCCCATTAGCATCTCCGATTCTTGAAACCACTGCTCTTTAGTTCAAGAATCATATCACTTTCAAGTTTCAACCCTTTTCAACACAACCCATATGTAGTCCATTTTATATCATTTGGCGGAAATATTATTAAACGATCACTTCGATCGCCGGAATATTATTACATTTTGTGGTATTTCTAACAAAATTTACAATAAAAAAGGCTACATATCTTGTTATTTGATCCAAGATTGAAAAGTTAACTTCTTATACCGAAGGTATGCTAGGCTAGTGGTTAGCACTTGGAATTGGTTCAATTGTGTTCATATTTCAATTTTCTTTGGGATGAGTATTTTCAAAGTAAATAGACTAAATTAAAAGCTGACCTCATATATATTTTGAATAACAATAATGGACTTTAATATCTCGAAAAACATGATTTACAAATATCATATCTAATATAATACGAAATTTAAATATATAGTTTCAAAAACCAATTTGTAAATAATACATAAATCGTACTTGAATCTATATTCTCTTAAAATTTAAAATCTATATGATTGAGTTGAGTGTCGACACTTTAGTTGCTATCTTTCTCTATCTCAATTATTAGCTGACACATATAAGAGTACTGAATCAAATACGATGCAAGTAGGTTTTGAATTTTGATTGACGATTTTTTGTCATGACTTTGTTTATATGATGAATTATTCATTTCTTTAAGAAAAATCGTCAAAGCTGCAAAAGCAGGGTTTCAACATGCGCAAGCGGAGCCCAACTGAAACTAAATTTCAAGTCTGTCTCCTTAACCACTCCGACATCTTTAGTTATTTACCATGCCTTCTTTTTTTGGTGAAGTTGAGATATATGTAATTATGTATATATAAACATATTGTGGAGGTAAAGGCTAAACTTTACATGGATACTTTTAAGCAGAGACTTGAGGAATGATATAGCTAGTAACCATCAACAAGACAAGAACCAATAAACTCGATGTGTAGAATATAAAATATATCATACTCATTAACTTCGAAATAATTAATATATATATGATTGCCGTTTTAACCATACATATCACCACCACCTACAAGACTCTTTAAAAGAGCATACCAACGAAAACAAACTCTATATACATACATATTTTTAGAACTTCAAAAAGATGGAGGAACAATTATTTTAGTTTAGAGATGCAGAGACGTATCAACGTCGTCGTATCGATCAATCCCACCCATCTTCTTGTCGTCTTTATTTGGCCACTGATGACAAAAGCTTGGCTTTTCAATGGATTCAGAGGTGGGGTGTGGGCATAAGGAGAGGGAGAGGAGCTGCTGTGACGAAGATGTTTGAGAGTTTGTAGGTAGAAACTGAAAGAAACCGAAACTTGTGGGTTCGCTGTAATATTGCAAGATGTTGTCTTGGTGGTTAGGTTTAGGGTTTAGGAGCTCTCGTTCAGCTCTTAACTCTCTTGCTCTCTGAAGTTGTCTGAATCTTTCTTGAAGCAAGACAATCGAAGACTGGATCACCATTTGTTCCTTTCGGTCTCTTGCTATTGAACTCATGACGTAATGATATGATCAGTCGTGGAGAGAGTCTTGCTAGGGTTTGGGGCCATGTTACGTGTGTTGATCCTATTTATATATGGAGGAAAAAGGTCTATATTATTTCTTGTTATTTAATCTGCATGAGAATATTATTAAAAACAATAAAAGTATATAGGGTTGTTGAGTAGTTCGATGAAATTCCGAAAGGAAGAGAATCAGGAGTAAAGTGGGAAGAGAACAAGAGGAAGAAGGCAAAAGGGACAATCTAAGGATTGTAAAAAGAGAATGTATAATGTGTGAGTGGAAATTTGCATATTTTTTTATTTATTTTTAAGAGTTTAAGAGCAAAGGAAAAAAAGTTGGCCAAAGTAGAAAATGGTTGGGAGGAAAATGACAAGAAGAATGTTTGAAGGGAAGCACATGGATTGGTTTGTTTGGATGATTATTGAGATATATAACCTTTTTTCATGCTCCCCACTTACCTCCCTTTAAGGGCTCTTTTTATTTGAAACGGAAACTTTATAACCCCGCGAATATAGGGTCTATATATATAAGGGGATGGTCTTGTTAAACGTTTGATTTGATTGTATGCATAACAAAAGTTTTATTTCAATGATAAATTTTCAATATTAAATACAAAAATCTTGCAGGGACATGCCTAACCATTATATATAAGAAGAGTAATAAATCAACGATCATATTCGTATTTTGCTATATTCAAGAAAACTTGCATGAGGTTTTAATATTCCTTGGAAAAAAGTGAATATGAGAAAAGGGAGTGACAAAAGGGTTTAGGAGAGATTTTGGTGGCTTGGGAGATGGTGAAATGGAGCCACTTCTTTGTCTCTACATCAAATCTTCTCGGTGGAATTTAAAGTTATATTATTGGCATTCAATTAAAAATGAAACACACTTTAAAGAAGAGAGTCAAAAGTTGTTAATGGTTTCTATAAATTAGTTGATCCACTTTTAAGTTTTAACTTCTTATGATTTGGCAAGGATGAAAAAGTATATAAAAGTGGGCCTATCTATTGATAAAAAGACAAATGGAGTTCAAGACTAGGGAATAATGATATCAACATACATATATATGTTGATAAATATGAGATGTGTTTTGATTGATAAATAATTGTGAAAAAGACCACTCATTTTTACACAAGACATTCTCTCTCGATCTCCTCGTTTTCTCTCGATCGAAATGCTACTCTACGCTCCCTTCCCATAATGAAAACATCCATGCATGTACATTATCATATATTTACTCATTTTGGGATCGAAAAGATTAATTTATAACTAAGTAAAATACAAATGTATTATATACGTATCAATATATATGTTTCATGCAAAGATGCAAACTTATATATATTTTCTATCGTGATAATCTTATATAATAGATATTGGTTGTGTTTGATACATATATATATATATATATATATATATAATTGTATTAACATAATTTTAACACCCATATAATGTAAAGTTTTTTGATCCAATTCTAAAACACATGTGTACGTTTTGAGTTTCTTTTCATATATAGTCGGATTTTGCAAAGCCACATTAATTGGTCCACAAGATACAAAACTTATCTCACATAGTCACATATACCAATTTATACAATGCCCTTATAATGTATCACTCTTGATTGTTGATATTAGATAAGAATGTAAATATCATAATAAATGAAATGATATTAGATTGAATTGGTGAATTTATTGTTACAACCTCTAAGAAAGAAAAAAAAAGAAAGTGAGACAGTATAGCTACAAAACGGAGCGGGTTGAAAAACAGAGGAAGTGGACAATGGGGATACAAAGTTTGAAAGGCACATCAAAAGTGGTGGGAGCAAAAGTTTGTCGTCAAGTAATTGGAATATAATGGCATGCATACACGAAAGCTGAAGATGCTACGACGTTTAGGATTTGGATTTACATTGTTTTTCTTCCTTTTTTCAGCTTCGGTATCTGCGATGTTATCGATAATGCTCTGATTTGGTGATAAGCCCAATTAGATAGATGATTAACATAATTAAGTGGGATCGGATGAGACAAAACATAAAATGTCTTTAGATTAGTTGAAAGAGATTAGAGACAAGGCGTGCCATTTCTGGTAAAACCATTACAACCACTCCACGTAAAAAGAATACATTATGTTTGTTAAATTTTCACATTTTGTTCTTTTTTTACCCTCCATTTTGTAGTTTTACATATCTACTACTATTTATATCTATTTTTAGCTTATTCATTCTAAATTTGGTTACTTTTACTGTTGACTCAAACTTGTAGCCTAGTTGTTGTTTTTTTTCACATGTACTCATGTACCCAAGCTTAATTAAATTCTGAAGAAAATTACCAAGCGGTTTTAGTTTTAATTTAATGGGCCGATTCTTTCTTTCGATATTATCAGAATTTCAACGCAGCCCAATAGAGCCTGTTAAAAAAAGGGTTTAGTTATAGTTTTTCATATAAGGGCTTGAGTTTTGTTTATTTCACGAAAAGAGTATAAGCTTTTATTCTGTTAAAATTAGAGCCCTTCTCTTCTTCTTTTTTGCAGTGTCAGGCCAATTCTAAATCCCAATTTTAGACGTTAACCTCCGCTTGAAGGCTTGAAATTTCTGTGAATCTACGACGGAGACTGTAAGTTCCGATCATATTCACGACGATCTCGTTTTATCTGCATTCGAATCTTTTCTTCCTCGTCGTGCAATTCATAAATTAGATTATTTGTTTATCCAGAACATGATGGATCAAATTAGGGCTTTCATTGTGCGGATTTGAATGTTGAATTGTTTGATTTTGGGTTTAGCGGATTGGTGAATTACATCAGAATCAGTAATCAGGAAAAGGGTAATGGAAGGAGAGAAGCTTATAGAAGATCGTGGCTTTTTGGCTGCTCCTCTGACCTTCTTCGTCGTCGTTGTCTTCCAATTGCTATCTAAGTGGCTTGACCAATTGAAGAAGGTAAAAAGATTAAACCTTTTTTGCTTTTTTCACATCCACTTGAATCATCGTTTTGAATTGTGGAATTTCTCCAGAAAGGGTCGAAGAACACGAGGGAATCAGAGCTGCGATCTGAAATTAAGCAGCTTTTGAGAGAGGCCAGTGCATTGTCTCAGTAAGCCCTTTTGGCTGTCAAATTTGTCACATTTTGTTTTTGTTCTAGTGATTAGAGAAGCTGCAGTGATTGAAAAAAACTATATGAGTGTTGTTGATGAGAGATTTAACTATAGTTTACTCGCAGGCCTGCCACGTTTGCGCAAGCAGCGAAACTTAGGAGGTCAGCAGCTACTAAAGAGAAAGAACTTGCACAATGTGAGTATTCATACATAGTAGCACTACATTGATTCCTTAGTGAGTGTAGAGTTCACGAAATTCAGGAATATGATGCAACAGTTACTTAGCTTTACTATCTGGTAACAGATTATTCCTACTAGAGCACTGCATCATCATGGTGTAGTATAGGTGTGTATTTGTTTAATGCTCGTTTTGAAATTTAGATCTGGAGCAGCATAACAAAGAAATCAAGCTTTCATACGATATGTATGGGAAGGTTTTACTTGCTTCAAAGGTAACTTTTAAGTTTGTGTGCTCAAGCTTCTCTTTTTCTTCTTCTAAAACTCCTTAATTGAGATGTGCTAAGAACTTTGTTTCTAGGTTGTGATATACCTAATCTTGGTATTATGCTTCTGGAGGACTCCAATTGCCATTATCGCTAAGCAACTTGTTCAACCGTTTGGTGAGTAGTTACTTTTACCGCTCTAAAGCTCGTTTTGGGATAACACATAGAAACAAAAAAAAAAACTGAATGTGGTGTGCCTCACAGGGACTTTGTTATCTTGGGGAACAGGAGGTCACTTGACAGGCCATGTAATGGTAGGTTCCTTACTTCCTTCTCGATCCTTTTCATTGGGCTTGTGTGATTGATAGTGTTGGTTGGGTGCAAATGCAGGTCGGGATCATACCGTGGCTGATACTCTCAACCAGAGTAAGCAAATATGTGTGTAGGTTCGTGGAGTTCTAAATCACAGCCCTGAAAAGAGTGGAGATTGGATGGTTTTGAGTTCAAAGTTGTAGCTTTTTAGGAGACACTCGTGGCAGAAACTGTGCCTCTCTTTTTTTTCCTAATCTTCCCTTAACAATGTATATTTTATATATGAATCTTTTTCTATGGTTTTTGTTGGATTTTACCAATAACAAAGTAGTTCGTTTTCTAGAGTTGGGCAGATTGTTACTGAAGCAGCCCAATATTTACCCAATGTGAGAACTATATATACATCACAACGCATTGTCTCCATTCCTCTAGTGTTGTCAATTTTTATCTTGTAACACCGACTTTGTAAAATCAGATTCAAAAGACGCGTGTACTTATTCAACACGATGCCAATGCATGTGGTTCATTAAAATGTAGCATTATATCACCGAAAATGGAAGAAACAAATAAAAATACTTACTACTATATTAAAAAGTGGGTAGCTTGGTGAAAGGCACTAGAGTTTAATGGAGAATCTTTTATCAATTAATTTGAGGGCATTATAATATCCACTTCCAAGTTCCAACCACCTCATAACTTAATTAAGGAAAACAATTTAAATCATACTCTCTCCGTTTTCGAATAGTTGTCGTTTTAACTATATGCACACAAATTAAGAAACTATTAATGTTGTTAGTTTTTTAATATAAAATATCATTAATTATTTACCTAAACATAATTTAAACAATAGTAAATCAAGTTGCATAATAAAAATAAATATACAAAATAAAAAAGTAATAAATTTTGCATCGAAAACTGAAAACGACAACTAATTAAAAACAAAAAAATTTCTCTAAAACGACAACTATTCGAAAACTGAGGGAGTAGTATGTTGTTTGGCTTGAAAGGAACGTGCACGTGTCACATCATCCACACTTGTCTTTCTAAATCAAAGGACTTGATTGGATTTTGGCTAAGCTATTAGAGCAACCCCAATGAATGAATCCTTAAAAGGATCCTTAAACATATTTTAATCTTACTTTACAACAATTTTAAAGTTAAGAAATTTTGATGAATCCTTAAAATTTTCTTTGTCCAATGGTGAGTCCTTAACTAGGTTTCTTAAAAAAAAAATATTTTTTAAAAAATGGAAAATTATAAACATTTTTATATGATAAAACTTAATAAATATTACAAATTCCTAAGAATTTTAAACATAGAAAGCATAAAAGCAAAAAAAAAAATACAAAAAAAAAAACGGAATAACGAGTAGTCGTTAGCTTAGTTTATGCCAAATTGTCGCCAAATATGCTCAACCAAATCAGCTTTCAGTTGTTCATGTTTAGTCCGATCTCGTATTTCGGATCGAGTGGCCATCATATTACCCAGATTTGAAGGCATTTCTGTAGAGTATGTGAAATCCACTTGTGAAGATGTGGTTGATTCCGGGTGTTGGAATTCGGTGACATCAAACTGAGTGTACCCATCTCGTTCATCCTCTACTATCATATTATGAAGAATTATACATGCTCGCATAATCTTTGCTATTTTTACCTTATCCCAAATAAGAGCCGGATTTTTTACAATGGCAAATCGAGCTTGCAAAACTCCAAAAGCACGTTCAACATCTTTGCGGCAAGCCTCTTGATTTGTAGCAAATAAAGAAGCTTTTTGACCTTGTGGAATAGAAATAGATTGGATAAATGTAGCCCATTTAGGATAAATGCCATCTGTGAGATAGTAAGCCAAATGATAGTCGTTCCCGTTGACTACGTATTTCACTTTCGGAGCTTTACCTTGTAATATATCATCAAAAACTGGTGATCGATCAAGAATATTTATATCGTTTAAGGTACCTGGAGGTCCAAAAAACGCGTGCCATATCCAAAGATCTTGGGAAGCAACAGCCTCTAAAACGATTGTTGGTTTGCCGGATCCACGTGTATATTGCCCTTTCCAAGCTGTGGGGCAATTCTTCCACTCCCAATGCATACAATCTATGCTTCCTATCATCCCGGGAAATCCACGTCCCGCTCCAATATGGAGTAGTCGTATAAGATCTTCTCGTGTGGGTCTTCTTAAGTACTCATCTCCGAACAAATAGATGATTCCATCAACAAAATGGTGTAAACATGACATCGAAGTACTTTCACCAATTCGTAGATATTCGTCAACCGCATCAGCCGCATGACCATATGCCAACATACGAATTGCTGCTGTAGCCTTCTGTAGTGCCGAGAAACTGAGCCTTCCGGTAGCATCTCTTTTTTGTTCAAAGAATGGAACTTCATTGGAGAGTCGATCAACAATACGCATGAACAAGTGCTTGTTCATTCTGAAACGGCGTCGAAATATATGCGGAGGGAATGTTGCATCTTCAGAGAAATAGTCGTTCCATAACTGGATGTGACCTTGTTCACGCTCTCTTTCAATATATGCTCGTTTTTTTTTTTCTTGACTTGTTGTTGTTGACGATCACCATAATTCTCTAATGTTTCGTCGATATATTGATCAAATTTATCGTTCAACATTTCGTTGAGATTATAATTTGAAGAAGATCCCATTTTTCTAAAAAAGAATTTGTTATGAATCGTAGTAAAAAAGAGAATTTGTTGTCGAGAAAAAAAGATAGTGTTTTGTAGAAGAAGAAGAAGAATAAGAATTGGTGATGGTGTTTTGAAGAAGGAGAAGTTTAAGATTGTTTTCCTCAAACGATTGTTTTATAGAGAAATAGTGTTTTGGAGAAAAGAGATATGTTGTTTTGGAGAAGAAGAAGAAGAAGAATAAGATTGTTTTGGGAAAGAAGAAGAGGAGTGTTCGGTTTAAATATGAAGAGAAACTAAAGAAACATAATTTGAAAATAAAAGTATCAAACAAACTAAATTACAAGTCTGAATATTGTCGGCACAAAAATACAAAATACTAGTGTCATGTGTTGAAGAAATGTCGACACAAAAACACAAAACAACTCTGTCTCACTGTTGTCTATAACAAGTGAAGTCGGCACTAAATCACAAAAGCATTGGTGTCACATGTGTCTCTTACTCGGCTCACCTGCATAATTGTTAATAAGAGAAGTCATCAGACCAAACACATCTAATAAAAACATCATACACAAACCAGAAACTTAAAACAGAAGCACAAAACATTCAGAAACTTTAAGACTATTAATAGAACATGCTTACACTTAAAACAGAACATGCTTAATAGCAAAGTGTCTAGCAGTTTAGTCCTACTAAGACTTAACAGAACATGCTTAAAATAGAACATGCTTACACTTAAGTTAACATTCAAGTTAGTTCAGTTTAAGTCAACATTCAGTTTAAGTTAACATTCAAGTTAGTTTAGTTTCAGTTGAAGACAAGCATACTTAGCTAACAGAAATCATTTCATTAATAGCAAAACACATTCAGACATACTTCAAACATAAACTAAAGACATAGTTAAACTTAAAACAGATAATTAAAACATACTTCGCTTAAATAGAACATAAAAACAAACTTAAGCTTAGGACAACAAATCCATTATGAGCTTGTTCTTAAGAGTCATTTCTATGTCAGTTAGAGGCTCTGTTTTTAGCATCAAAGTGTCTAGCAGTTTAGTCCTACTAAGCTTCTCCTTAACATTGATTAGCTTCTCTTTGAAAACTAAATCTTTCTCCTTAATCTCCCAGATACAATGTAACTCCTTCAAAGTCTTGTCTTCATCTCCAATTTGACTTGTTGTCTTGGCTTTGGCTTTGGCTGTGGCTTTGGCTGCCTTAACACCAGTGGGACGAGGCTCTTCCTCGTCAATGTTGACTGGCATAGAGCATGAGGCCTGTGCAGAGCCGTCCTCAAACCTCTTCCTCTTTGCTGACCCACTGTCTTTACTTGTTGATGATCCGCACCACTTCTGATCATGGCGAAGCTCCCTCCAAGCATGCTCAAGTGTGAACTTCGCCTTGTGATCATTGTAGAAGATCTGGTGAGCCAAGTTCACCACATCATTCTCATTCTGGCCACTGGTCTGCTGTTTGGTTGCAGCCTCATAGCTTCCTACAAACTTACAGACTCCCTCATTTATCTTTGCCCACCTTTGTTTACAGCATAATGGAGCTCTCTTTTGCAGACCTCTCAGCTTGGGACTTGCTGCAAAGTAGTCTGCAATGCGTTGCCAGAAAGCTGTGGCTTTTTGCTCATTGGAGACAACAGCATCCTTGGAGGTGTTGAGCCAGGCACTAATGAGAATCACATCTTCTGTTGGTGACCATTTACGTCTTGATTTGCGGTCTGCAACAGGCTCTTCAGCAGGCGTTGGAGCTTGATTTGGGTCAATCCAAGGTGCACTAAATGAAAAACCAGCATACTGATTTGGTGGAGGCATGGGGTTATCTTGTTGAGAACTTAAGAGGTTTAAAAAGCTTGAAGGATTGGTATATGGATTCCTTGAATCCATATCAAAATGTTTCTGGTTTGTGTTAAAAGGAGAAGATAAGAGCTGTGGTTTTTGCTTTAAGAAGACAATGAAGAAAAGAGGATTATGGTTCAATGTTTAATAGAGTTGCGGATGTTAAAGAGGAGTGAATATGGTTAGGTTTGAATTAACTAGAGCTGAAGCTATTAAAAAAGCTTCAGTCTTAAGTTGAAGTGATGGTTAGCTGTTAACTTTAAGCAATGAATGACATACACTTTAACCTACTCTCAACCATGCAAGATAACAGAGACTTTAACCTACTTTAACAGAGATCATAACTATGATAATGATCATATCTAACCTAATCTAATCACAGAGAGCAATCAATCGAAGAGATGCAATCAAAGAGAAGCAATCAATGACATACTAATAACTATGATTTAGACTCCTCAGACTTTAACCTACAACAAGTCATAATCATTTATCACAATGCATTCAATTAAAAACTGAACTCTTTACCTATTAAACTGAACTCATACTTTAATTATTACAAGAAACAAGTCATAATCATTTATCACAATGCATTCATTTAAAAACTGAACTCTAGATTCTGGATTCATTTATCAAATGATGGTTTATATTAGTCAAGTTTTAAATCTAGATTCTGCATAATTGGACAGACTCAACTACTTTTTAAATTACATTAGGAAACACAAACACAAACACAAAGACAATGTTTAATAGAGTTTGAAATCAAGTTTTAAATTACTTCGAAATGGATTATAGTACAGAAGCCAGAACAACACACATACCTGACCACCACGATTTATTCTCTGAGAGTTAGGAAACACAAACTTCAATTCCTGTAACAGAAACCACACAATCAAAGGTCATAAATCAAAGAAAAGGCACAAATCACTAACTTTGGTGGATCAGCAGATTTTTTTACACGAATCAAGATCAAATACAAAACTTTAATCTCAGATTATGTATTCAATAACCCAAATTAACAGATTAAGAGACTCATTATCAATTCAAAAACCCAAAATTGCGTTTACCAATCAAAAACCCTAATTTCTAGCAAAACAAATCTCATATCACAAACCCTAATTTTGTTAACATCTAAATAACCCTAATCAAATCATACAATAAAAAATATACAGACAGATTCGTACCGTGAGGAAGCGTTTGGAGCCACTAGAATCGCCTTTCTCTCCGATTTAATTTTCAGAACCTATTGATTAGGTCAACGAACTACTGTTGGTGACCACGCCGACGGTGGAAATGAGTATCACGGCTTACTGTGTACAAAGGCTTCGCCATTTACTTCCGATTTGATAATCAAAATCGCCGGAATTGAAGATTTGGTGAGTTTCGCCGTCGGAGAAAACAAAAAGAAAAGAGAGAGAGGGTCGAGAAGAGAGAGAACTGAAACGCGAAAGAACAATTGTTTTTGTTTATCTCACAATTCTTGCCAATAAAATGATGCCACGTAGCACCTCTTGCAGGAACAAAAAAACCTTATATTAGAAACGAACCTTGGCTTTTGATTATGTTTGGATTTATTTTTGGGGCTTATATTACAAGAAATTATTGGTAGAACCTTTAAGGTTCTCCCATTGTTGTTGCTCTTAGTAAGAGTTAATAAGACAGAACCAAAGGAAAGGGTTTGGTTAGTAGAGGCTAATTGGGAGATGGGAAGTGCAATAAATAAGAAGAAGGGTTCATTAAATAGTGTGTGTATGTGTATGTGTGTGTGTGGGCATCCAAAGTCCCATCTTTATAATTTAAAACTCTCCTCGGGATATCAATCTTCTCTTCTTCTTTCTCCATTTTCCTAGAACATTAAAAGACAAAATATGGAGCATTGTAATTTAATTAATCCTAAAGGTCATTGTGAGATTTCACTTTCGTCTTTAAGGGAGGGGGGATGTTAGAAAATGTGTTTTTGGGGTTGTGATCAGAACCCATGCACATTTCAATTCAATGCATCTCATAATATACGTATTAACGTCTACAAGAACTTTTCTACCACTTGGCAGATTTAGGGACTATGTTTCTGTGCCTCTATCACCCCTAATTCAATACCAGTATCATATTTCAGCTTACTCTAAAACAACAAGTCACGACAAGATGATATCATTGTAAAGATAAATTGAGTTTACTAGAAATTTCATGTAATAAATAAGTATCGCTAATCTGCTCCGCATTTGTCGAATATCTAATTATGTGATCCGTTATACTTAAAGAGAAAGTTGAATTCCTATAAAGTTTCAGAAATCAAATTTGCTCCGCTAATAAACTGAAAACCGAAAACCATAAAATTTTAAGAAAAAAGTATTCTCAATATGAAGTTATGAACTATGAAGTGAATTCATCTAGTTTTTTTTTTCTTTAAAATAGTTAAAATGAAAAAGTGAAAAATTAAGACGGTGGTAATAGGAATTTTTTTGAAGAAAATGATAACAATAACTAATAACACTTCACTTCAATCTCTAGTATAAACTATAAATGTATAATAACCTATTATATTTGTAATTAATATAAAAGGTTTTCAAATATACTTTTCTTATGCTTTTATTAGAAAACTCTTACTACTTGTTTTTTTTTCTCACAAGAGTAATATCCGTCAGGTAATCAATTTCTTGTAATCTCAACATTTGTGGGTCTTTTAGTAACTAGAATTTTATTACCTTACGGATCGGAACATATATAATCGACATTTTTAAATATTGATTGGTATTTGTGATTTGTCTCGTTTTAGATTAAATAAAAAATATACTTTTCTTTTGACTATAGTCTATAACGGATATTAAAAAAAAACAAATGGAAGTTGAATCTAAAAACTAATTTGTCAAGCCTTTAATTTACACAAAACTAGTAGCAAACTTATTCGTCAACACACTCAATTTTGGTGATATTTTTCAATAATGGCATAGGGACCCAAAGCGATGTGAAGTAAAAGCATGAAGCTTCTCTCTATTTAAAGCCTTAAGCCGAATGTGGACACTATTTCTCTTTAGTCTCTCTACGGAACCTGTCTTCCTGTCTTGTCCAAAATCGGATTTTTAAGAGTACAAGTGAGTTATTTGGTGGCCGAAATCAGTCCTGGAGACCTCAGCAGCAAGATGAAGCTAATTGATCGAAGAATGAGGTTAACGGAACTGCTCTTACGATGCTCCATCAGTGTCTTCGCTCTCCTCGCGCTTATTCTGGTTGTTACTGACACTGAGGTCAAGCTAATCTTCACTATCAAGAAGACGGCCAAGTACACCGACATGAAGGCGGTTGTGTAAGCTTATCAAAAACCCATTTCGATTTTAGTTCTTTCACTTGAGAGAGATGGCAAAGTTTGTAACTTTTTGTTGATTCTTGTGGGGATTGATTGATGCAGGTTCTTGGTGGTGGCTAATGGGATAGCTGCGGTTTATTCTTTGTTGCAATCAGTTCGTTGCGTAGTGGGTACGATGAAAGGAAGGGTTTTGTTTAGTAAGCCTCTTGCTTGGGCCTTTTTCTCTGGTGATCAGGTGAGTTTAGTTTGTGTTTCTCTTTTTCCATACATTTTGTTTGCCAAAATTAGTGAATTGGATGGGAGATTTTTGGGGTTTGGCTTTGTTATTGTGAGATCTCGGGTCAAATTGGAGAAAAGTAGGGTACTATGTTGAAAAGTCTCCAAGCATTAAATGGGTTTAGTTGGATATCAGAATTGAATTAACTTAGGTAGGAATGTTGCTTGTTTGTTTGCATTTGGAATTGAATCTAGGAGATGAAGTTTTGTTGAGCATTTAAGAGTGTAGTTGCAATGTAATGGTGTGATTTGAATGAGCAGGCGATGGCGTACTTGAATGTGGCAGCCATTGCAGCGACAGCAGAGTCTGGTGTGATTGCAAGAGAAGGAGAGGAAGATTTGCAATGGATGAGAGTGTGCAATATGTATGGCAAGTTTTGCAACCAAATGGCTATAGGAGTCTCCAGCGCGTTGTTAGCCTCCATTGCTATGGTTTTCGTCTCCTGCATTTCTGCTTTTAGTCTCTTCCGCTTGTACGGTGCCACCAGAGACCGCAGAACCACACCTTGGTGAAGTTCTTGCGCTTTGTCTTCTTTACTAGTGTTGAATGTTGTTGTTAAAAAAACAAATAGTAAAAAAGTGTAGGCCCTTGTTGGTTCTTCTTCTTCTTCTTGATAATGTTATATGTGACAAACAATATGTAAAACTAGACTATTGATGTTCTGTGTCAATGTGCCATATGCTGTGATCAAAAACAAGACTTATTGTTGAGCAAATCACCCACCTCATTGTGTTTCTCTTTTACACCGACCTATATAGCAACTCTATTTGCATTTAGGCCGTTAGACAATAAGATTATTACTAGGCCCGTTATGCAATTTACGTTTTTGACTTTTCAACCCCTTTTAGGTAATTTGGGTCTCTCTCTCGTCGTTTTGATCGAACCCAGGTTGTGCAACTTAGAACCAAAAGAGAAAGAAAGCACCTTTCGACGCCGTTCTGGTTTTCCGATACCCTCAGCTTCTCCGGCACCTATCCCTAATATTTGCCCTCTTTATTTTGGTTCTACTAGTTTCTCCGCCTCCAAAGTTTGGATTTTTAAGTTTTGAATAGAAGGCGATATGTCGGAGAAGTTTTCACCGACTTTGAGGCTCGGAGATCTCAACGATTTCATTGCTCCGTCTCAAGCTTGTGTCATATCTCTTAAGGATTCAAAACCTATCGTCAAGAAGTCTGATCGACCCCAGGTCCGAAATTTCCATGCTTTCTCAAGTTTTCTTTCGTTTCTCATTGTTTCTTCAAGTAGTCGCTTCTTGAGTCTTTTTCATTCTCAACCCGATAATGAAATTACTGGTTTCTTTTGATATGAATCCTATATATATCTTCACCAGCTAAAGTGTCCTTCTCTGTGCTAATTTTGTATTTGAAGGTTGTGATTGCCCCAAAACAGCAGCTTGAACCGGTCAAAATTTCTCTCAAGGATTGCTTGGCTTGCAGGTTTGTTCTCTCACTTACTGCTTTTGAGTCAGTTTTGGAGTTTAGAATGTAATGGTTTCTATATACGATGATATAGTGGATGCATCACATCAGCTGAGACAGTTATGCTTGAGAAGCAAAGCTTAGACGAGTTTCTCTCTGCTCTTAGCAAAGGCAAGGACGTGATTGTGTCCATTTCGCCGCAGTCGAGAGCTTCCCTTGCGGTTCACTATGAGATCTCTCCTCTTCAGGTTTTCAAGAAGTTAACTACGTTTTTGAAGTCTTTGGGAGTTAAAGCTGTGTTTGATACAAGCTGCAGTAGAGACTTGGTACTTATTGAAGCTTGTAATGAGTTTGTGAGCCGTTACAAGCAAGCTAATTCTGATGATGGTGAAAATTCTCAATCCCCTCTCCCTGTGCTTTCCTCTGCCTGTCCTGGTAAGCAACTTTACTAGTTTGATGTAGTCGAATGTGTCACTATGTGAGAGTAATGTGCGAAATTTTTTGTGAATCAAGGGTGGATATGTTATGCTGAAAAGCAGCTTGGCTCATATGTTCTGCCGTATGTCTCTTCTGTTAAGAGTCCTCAGCAAGCTATTGGAGCTGCAATCAAACACCATCTGTGTCAAGCATTAGGACTCAGGTACTATGGTACACTTGAATCTTTGGTTATCATTTGGTTACCTTCCTAAAATTTTGGATTCAACGGTGACCATTTCATGGAACTAGGCTGCAGGAGGTGTACCATGTGACTGCGATGCCCTGTTATGATAAGAAGCTCGAGGCAGCAAGAGATGATTTTGTCTTTGAAGATGGAGCACAAGATAATGGAAGCCTCAAGCTGACAGAGGTTGATTCCGTGCTAACAACTGGTGAAATCTTGGATTTAATAAAGGTGATACTGTGATAGAAATTAAAACCTATTTTCATTGTAATTCTGCTTCCATGTCGCAGAAAATGTGAATTTGATTTTGGATTATTATTATATGTTTCTTGCAGTTGAAAGGAGTTGACTTTAAAGATTTGGAGGAATCTCCACTCGACAGAATGTAAGAAGCAGTATTTCCTCTTCCCTGCTTATGGGTGATGAATATATGAAGTAAACATTTTCCATTCTCATGCAAACAACAGGCTGACGAATGTTACTGAGGAAGGACATCTTTATGGTGTAGCTGGGAGTTCTGGGGGTTACGCAGAAACAATATTCAGACATGCGGCAAAAGCACTATTTGGACAAACTATTGAAGGTCCTCTGGAGTTTAAAACTCTCAGAAATTCTGATTTCCGTGAAGTGACTCTTCAAGTAAGTTCTTAGCCAGACTATCAAATCAACAGTTTTTAAATTTTCTCTGATTAAATTCCCCTCGGATATGTCTAATGTTCGTCATCTTTTCTCTTGAAGTTGGAAGGTAAAACAGTGTTAAAATTTGCGCTGTGTTACGGTTTCCAGAACCTTCAGAATATTGTCCGGAGAGTGAAAACGCGCAAATGCGATTATCATTATGTAGAGATTATGGCGTGCCCTGCAGGTTAATTTTCTGCAAACCCTGGTTGAAAAACGTGTCTTACATGTTGTCTTATTAACGGTTCCCTAAAATGCTTGTTCTAAACAGGTTGCCTAAATGGTGGTGGGCAGATCAAGCCAAAGACAGGGCAGTCCCAGAAAGAACTGATCAACTCACTGGAAGCTACTTATATGAATGATACTGTAAGTTACCTTTGAGTTTCATAATTCATTTCTTAACTAAGCTAATAAATTTGACCCCAAAAAAAAAAGAAAACTAAGCTAATAATCAATAACCTGCCCTTTTGGATCCAGACTTTGAATACAGATCCATACCAGAATCCAACGGCCAAGAGATTATACGAGGAGTGGCTTAAAGAGCCTGGCTCCAACGAGGCGAAGAAGTTTTTGCACACTCAGTACCATCCGGTCGTGAAAAGTGTTACGTCGCAGCTCAACAATTGGTAGACCGTAGACAAACTGGAGGTGTTCAAATTTTTTGACTGACAAAGGCAACAAAGACGGTTCTATATTGTGTATTTAGATAGGAGATAAGTGTGAAGCTTTATGTAAAAGACAAATCTCAACATTACATATAAGTAAAATTACACGATCCTACTACGCTGGAGTTTTTTTTTTTTTTGTTTGGCTTGTAATAGTACACTGATACAACCTCCAACACGTTCACACTTATTACATAGCAGTTACTGTGATAGAGAGGCAAGGAGCTTGTCCTTCAACTGCTCGGCTGTGCAGCCACCCTGAGGCCGGAGAGTGAATGTGTGAACCACACCCTCCTCTGTGACAGCCACATTGGAGTCATGAGGCATAACTTCATTCTCTCTCAACGTTTGTATCACCTTTGAAACGGGATGGGTTTCCAACGGACAGCTTAGCCTTACCACTGCATCATCGTGCCTTTGTTGATAATCAACCTCTGCTGGAGTTATCTGATTACTCTCCCTCCTCTTCATTATCTGCTTCTCTGTTTCGTATACCCTGATTTTCTTCTGCATATCTGTGATGTATGTGATTGCATCCGCAAGGAGCGAAGCCTTGTCCATCTTGGAGATGTTAGGCACCACCGCTCTCAATGCGTAGAATCTCTGGTTCAGCTTCTCCCTCCTCTGCCGTTCCGCTTCCACATGGTTTAGAGCTTCTTCTCTTCCGTTTGCTGGTTTTCTCCCTCTCTTCCTCGGCTTTTGCTCGTCAGTTAGATACAATGTCTCATCTTTCCCTTGCTCATAACCATACACTTGATTGGAACCACCAATCGCTTGCACCTCATACGATTCCAATGAGAAACCCGTGCCATCCTCCGTCTTGGGGGAGAAATTAATACTCATAGACCGTGGTTTCGATCCACCAAGGCTCAATTGTCGACCAAAGATTTTAGGAGCTTCTTTAGCCTGAACAAAGTCAGATCCACCAAACACTGATTTCACCATCTCAATCACACTCTTATCTTCTGGAATATGTCTCAAAGAACCAAGCTCCACAACTCCAGAATTCACTGGTACAGACAACACAGTCTGAAACCCAGCAGATCTACCCAAGAAAGACCTAACCCTATAATAACTCAAGCAGCTAGGCAAATCTGCAGCCCAAAGAGGCTTCCCAGAGACATAGGTTCCAGCAGGACCATACTTATTAGAATCACACCTAAAGGAAAAGTACAAAGAAGCCAGAAAAAACATGTCGAGATCATTAAGAGCTCCTGATTTCACCAAACGATGATCCTCATCCGAACCAACAAAGGACAAGTGAAGCTTGCGAAGCACACGCCTTTTGGTCTCATCTTGCTGCGAATAATCCTCACCAGAAACACCCTTTTTGACACGGCAATGACCATCTCCCCAGATCAAGACACAACCATCGGAGCTATTAACGTTGGAAGCTAACCAGAAAATAGCATAATCCCAATCAGAACCTTCAACAACGTGACGTAACCCTTGTTGGAGATTGGAATCACTTGGCGGCGAGACAAGCTTGGTCAAGGCAGTGTTGGAAGCTGAAGCCGTTGAGATGAAAAAGTCACAAGCTTCAGAGCCTATGGTTGATTCAACCATCGCTCGATCTTCTTGATTCTCCCAAAACTTTGGACCCATTTCTCCTGAAACGTTCATTGAAATGGATACACAAAAATTAGGGTTTGGAATCAAACAAATTAAAGGTATTGGATTGAGATCGCCGCTTACAAAAGAGATAGAAGATGATGGGCTTCGTGAGGAAGAGGAAGGAGGATCACGTGTTTCTTGCTGGGAGACCAATTTTAGGGTTTGCTGATGTAAAAGCAAAGCCCTTTATAAAGGTTCTATCTCTAGTTTCTATTGCTGAGAAAGGAATGACCAAAGAGAAGACAAAACCTGAGCTTGATTCACTTCAGATCTGTAGCTACTTGTTCTGAAATTGACGAAGAAAGCAGAAATGAGGAAGATGTGAGAATCTGGGTTTAATCGTATTTAATACGAAGGACATCATTTCCTTTTCCTTTCGTTTTTTAACAACAAACTATTTTTTTTGCTTTTTCTTCCCAACCCAAACCACAAGTAATTGTGCTGTAGTACAAATTAGGTTATTCAACTACAAGTAACACATTTGATTTCACTGTATTTTTTTCGAGATTATGGGTACATGTTGGGAACAAAGTTTCTTGTACCAACAGATTATGATGTGAGACATGAGTTTCGAGCCGCTTAGAGGGTCTATCGAAAACTCGCCTTCTCCAAATTAAGCTAACGCACATTGCCATCAATAAGCGAAAGAGGAGTTTACACATCTCACCATTATGTGCAAGTACAATTGTTAGATAGACGGAGCATGTAGTACGAAATGCATCATTACACCACCTAGTCAATCAAGATTGTTTCGGTAATGTGGTATTGGGGAACTAATCGCGTCTAATACATGCAAGTAAAAACTTACTCGTTCAACAAAAAAATGATTCGATATTTTTATTCGATTGAGATGAGTCTTATAAATGTCTCACTAGATGTCTAATAAAAGAGATTCATACATTTCTAAAAGGTTGCTTCCTTTCTTAACCTTCTTCCAAATCCTTTTTTCTTTTGAGCATCAAAAAGATTTTTGAAATACATCATAATGTAGGTCCATGAACAAAAATAGACTGATGAAAAAAAAAAGAACAAAAATAGATAAAAACGAAAACCAAATTTCTTACACAACCAAATAATAATTTAGCTTCTTATTACTTTCTTTTTTTCCTCTCAACCACCATTCAACAATTAGCATCAAAATTTAGGATTATTGTATTGATAGATGTGTATAAAAAATTATAGATTTAAGTTATAAGAGTCAATTTAGTTAGTCATATGCTTAGTAAGCAATAAGCATCACCGTCTAATCCCAAAAAAAAAAAAACAAAAAAAATCTAAAAGCAACAGTGCCTTAGAAATTTCCTTTTCCTCGACTTCCCTAATTTAATTTCCTCAGGTCGGAAGTTGTGAAATAATTACTAGAGATCCGACCTCACAAATTTGGGCCGAGTTTTGTTGGATTCCAATCTTCCACGAAACCCCAAAGTACAATTACATCTTCTCCGGTGAGTCTCCCATGTTGGCATTACGTTAGGGTTCTTCCTTTTGGTTCCGCATAATCCCAACTTCAGCATCAATGGGTCGCTCTCGAGGGAACTTCCAAAATTTCGAAGACCCTACACAGAGGTTTGTTCCTATTTCACAACTGATTTTTCCCGATATGGGTTTTTGTTGATTTCTCTTTTGTAATTGCCAATTTCTGCTGGAATTGATTTTAATTTCAAGTTTCTTTGAGTCTGCGTTGCGCAATTATCATTGATTTCTAGTTGGGACAATGAGCATGGCTTCAAATTTGTGCCTTTTGATAACTTTCAGTAGCTATAGTCTCCTCTCTATCTTCATCTATGTAATTGCCAATTCCTGCTGAATTGATTGTATTTTAAGTTTCTTTGATTCTGCTTTAGGCAATTATCATTGATTTTTCAGTTGGGACAATGAGCATCGCTTAAAGTTTGTGGCTTTTGAAAACTTTCAGTAGCTATATAGTGCACTCTATCTTCATCTATGTAATTGCCAGTTTTGGCTCAAATTGATTGAATTCATATTTCTTTGAATCTGCGTTGCACAGTGATCATTGAATTCCAGTTGGGACAATGAGCATCGCTTCAAATTTGTTGCTTTTGAAACCTTTCAGTAGCTATATAGTTCTCTCTGTCTTCATCTCTGTAATTGTTCTTTCACTGTTGATGCTGACGTGAAAGAATTGTGTTTGCGTTTGTTGCAGAACGAGGAAAAAGAAAAATGCAGCTAATGTGGAGAACTTTGAGTCTACATCTATGGGTAAAACAACTCTTCTAGCCTTTTTTGTTCTCCTGTCAAGATTCTTCCTTTACTCATCGTTCTTTTCTTGTGGAGACAGTTCCAGGTACTGAGGGAGGAGGGAAATATAACTGCGATTATTGCCAGAAAGACATTACTGGCAAAATTAGGATAAAGTGTGCTGTCTGTCCGGATTTTGATCTCTGTGTAGAATGTATGTCTGTTGGAGCAGAGATCACTCCTCACAAATGTGATCACCCATACAGAGTTATGGTTAGTTTTTTTTTTTTTACTTTACTTACCTTTTAATTTGGAAACAGTTTGATTCATTGAGAAAGAGATGAATTTATGTATACTTTCATCATTTGGATTTAGTGAATATATCTTTTGGTTGAATTCCATCAAAGCTTAATATATTTCATTTGCTTTGTCAGGGAAATCTAACTTTCCCGCTTATTTGTCCTGACTGGAGTGCGGATGATGAAATGCTTCTACTGGAGGTACCGCTACTTCTTCTATCGTACTGATATGAGGTCTATAATGTCTGTTTCTTTCAGTGAAAAGTAATTTCTTTTAATGTCTTAAATCAGGGACTTGAAATTTATGGCTTGGGAAACTGGGCAGAGGTTGCGGAGCATGTGGGAACGAAGAGTAAAGAACAGTGTCTTGAGCACTACAGAAACATTTATTTGAACTCGCCATTTTTCCCACTTCCGGTATGCTATATCGATCTGATAAGATAACATATATCTGGCTCAGTAGTGCTAGACTTTTGCAAGGTATTAATTAATTCAGGAGAAACGTTTTATTTCCCAGGATATGTCACATGTAGCAGGGAAGAACAGAAAAGAACTTCAAGCCATGGCAAAAGGACGCATTGATGACAAGAAAGGTATGCGCTACTTTGCTTGATGGTTGTATGATTCTGCGTTGTACGTGTTGCTATCGTAATTCTGAAATTGATGTGGCTTCTTTGGCAGCTGAGCAGAACATGAAAGAAGAGTACCCGTTCTCTCCTCCTAAAGTCAAGTATGTTTCTCGTTCTTCTCATATACTGTACAGTGACCTATAGTTTTCTCATCTTCTATCCAATTTTCTTGCAGAGTTGAAGATACACAAAAAGGTGAGTCCTTTGCTTGGTATGTTATATCTGGTTCGTATTTAAGTGTGCTTGTCGTTATGTTATATACATGCTTTAGCTTACACCAGTAGTTATAATCTAGTTCACCATAAATGGAATCATCTACTTCTTGTAAAGTAAGAAGCTGACTGAGCATAATTTTTTTAAAATTACAAAGAAATCCCAATATTTGTCATTGTATTTATACTGGTAGATATTTTCTCCTTTTTTCTATGTTTTGACGTGCTTTGTGGTTAGAGTCTTTTATAGACAGGAGTTTTGGAGGGAAGAAACCTGTCACCACCTCGGTCAACAACTCTTTGGTTGAATTGAGTAATTACAACCAGAAAAGAGAAGAGTTTGACCCTGAATATGACAATGATGCTGAGCAACTCTTGGCTGAGATGGAGTTCAAAGAGAACGATACTCCTGAGGAACATGAGCTGAAGCTGCGTGTGTTGCGTATCTATTCTAAAAGGTACAGCATTTAAGATCAAAAGGGGAACAAAGTCTCTTCTTTTTGCCGCCCATTCTGACTCAGGTGAGTGTGATGATTGTAGGCTTGATGAGAGGAAACGTAGAAAAGAATTCATAATAGAAAGAAACCTGTTGTACCCAAATCCCTTTGAGAAGGACCTGTCTCAGGAGGAGAAAGTGCAGTGTCGACGCTTGGACGTTTTTATGCGTTTTCATTCAAAAGAGGAGCACGACGAGCTACTCCGTAGTGTTGTAAGCGAGTACCGCATGGTGAAACGGCTCAAAGATCTCAAGGTAAGGACATTGCTACTCTCAAACTGTGCGTTTGGTTTCTTGGATTGGATGTGGCTCACTGTGTTAAATTGGTGGAGCAGGAAGCTCAAGTGGCAGGTTGTCGTTCGACGGCTGAAGCAGAGAGGTATCTGGGGAGGAAGAGGAAGAGAGAAAACGAAGAAGGGATGAACAGAGGTAAAGAGAGCGGTCAATTTGGTCAAATAGCAGGGGAGATGGGCTCTAGACCTCCTGTGCAAGCATCTTCAAGCTATGTGAATGATTTGGACCTGATTGGATTCACGGAGTCGCAACTGCTGTCCGAATCCGTAAGTGTCGAGATACTGAACATGTGTGAGATGAGAGTTTTGTTGTAACTGAAAGAAGAGTTGTTTTTGTTTTGCAGGAGAAGCGTCTCTGCAGAGAGGTCAAGTTGGTTCCACCGGTTTATCTACAGATGCAACAAGTGATGTCACATGAGATATTCAAAGGGAATGTGACGAAGAAGTCGGATGCATATAGCCTGTTCAAGATCGATCCAACCAAAGTGGATCGAGTTTATGATATGCTTGTGAAGAAGGGTATTGCTCAACTTTAAGGCTTGTGTAGTGTTGTATCATATATATATGTGAGCTCTATTGAGTTATTTGTTGACATTGCCTTGTTTATTACAACTTGTCAAAATTAGTTTGTAATAGAAAAACGATCAAGTTATCCACAGATTGTGAAAAGAGATAAGGTGAATGAGAGCCACACAATCTAAACTCAACGTTTTAGTATAGAAGAAAGAATCTTAATCCTACAAGGAAAGCAAGAAGTGAGATGACGATGATGTCTCTCCCCAAAATGAAACTATCTTGTCTGCAACCTCACCTCCACCTTACCAGTAGCAGATCATTAGCAGCAGCTCAAGCTTTTCCGTGCTCAAACATAAGGAACACAACATCATGTCTTGTTCGGTGCGGCTCAGGCAGAAGAAAAGTAACTACGAAAAGCAGCAGAAGCAGCAAGCTTGAAAAGGCACAACAGCCTCTGGGTTTGGAGCGACGCTGGAGAGATGCTGTGGTTGGTGGAGTCTCTGTAGGGTTGATGATGGTTTTGGTATTGGGAATGGATGCAGAGAAAGCTCTGGCGCTTGGACCAGAAGGTCCTTTGATGGAAGAGTTTTGGGACAACGTTAGAAGGTACGGTCTTTACGCTCTTACGGTTAGCACTGGAGCTCTCTCTGCTGTCTTTGAGCCCATCTTTGAGCTCCTCAAGAACCCAATCTCCGCCATTCTCATTCTGCTCATCTTAGGTGGAAGCTTCTATATCGTCTCTCAAGTTGTCTCCGCCATGATTGGTGTCAATGAATTCGCTTATGAGTACAGTTATTGACCAAACTATAGTTTGTTTTTGTTCTCTTCATTAATACTCTGCTTTTATGCTGTTTTTTTTTATCTATTTAAATTTTGTTACACAATCAATCACATTTTTATTTGACATATCAGTTACACCAAATCATGTACATTTTAAAAGCTCTTTAAGATGGATACTTGTGTGCAAATCTTTGTCAATCGTACTTGTGAGAATCCTCAGGCCTTCCGGCGACGTAATCCATCAGTCTCTCGCCGGTGGCTTCTTCTGAAAGCTGTTGAAAGCCACCGAAGGTGATTGCCACCGCTAAGAAGGCGGCCGTTGACGCAAACAGAGGCCAGAAATAAGCTAAAATGTTCACAATCCTTGGTGCTGCATACACGAGAGACGCCACAACCACGCTCACCATGATTGCTACCATGAAATGGAATCTGTATTCCATTAGCCTTGCCTGGATCTCCATTACTTGTGATTGAACTCGGTGAACAGAGAGAGAATTAAGGAGAAGATGTTGAAGCCAAAAACTTTGAAGATTGCAATTTAAGAGGAAGGAGATTGAGATGGTTTTAATTTGAAAGTTGGTACCTTTGGCTTTTGTTGATCAACGCAAGTTCTCAAGTCCTTTTCAAGTGGCTGTGTGCTTGGTGAAGATTCCCTTGTTTACATTAATTTAACCCACTAATCATGGTTACTGACTTGAATACCCCTAAGTTTAGAGAATGTGAAGGGACATAATCGTCATTCTAAGATGATGCTTTTGTCCGGAAAATGGGTTTTGTCTCTTTTCCTCGTGATGATTACCAGACAAAGACTTTGTGTAAGAGAATAAAGAAGGGAATAAGGGGGATCGCATCGCTTTGCAAAGTTTCTTCCTTTTCTTCATATCCAATGGAAAGGCATCATCTTTCTCTTCTTTAATCGCATTATAAAACTCCAAATTTTCATTACCACATAAGTGATTGATTAACATTAAGATTTTAAACAAAAACACTTAACCATCAGAATAACTTTGACATTCTTTAGTAATAGGTTTCCAAAAACAAACCCATTACAAGAACTGTAACTTTACATATTAGCAGTCACAACATCTTCTGAACACAAAATTTACAACTACTAGACTGCGTTGTTATCAAAACTTCTCTCCCTCCTGCTACTTCAGCTTCAAGCCACAGCAAGATTATACAGCGAAACAAACTATCAAAAGTTATCTACCTCTACTATTGTCTGCAAAGATGGCTTCCATTTCCGCTGAAACGAAACGCCTTGAGGATTTTGTCGCAGCAGCAGCTCGAGCTGTTTCCTTGTCAGAGTGATCTTTATGCACCGCCTTCTCCCAGTTTTGCTCTCAGTTGCATCCTGAGGTGACTCCTTGGCCTTCTCTGTTGATGCCTCATCATCCGACCAGACATCTGTAACTTTGTTTCCATGCTTGCAGAGCAATGTGTGAATGCAGTTTCCCATGATTGATAGTGATGTGATGATGCCATGAATCAAACAATTTATATTCAACTCTTGGAACAACGTGCAGACCATCATATGCCCACTAACTCTTTTCTTTATAACGGTCAGCTAATGTAGCAGCACTTGGAAAACATATCTTGTTGCACATGCATTTGTCAAACGGCGTCTTAAAAATTAATGAAACCGCAAATCAATAAGCATGCTTTCTAGGAGAAGGGGAAAGTCAAATGACCACCGCCCCAGTTTTAAAGTCAATAGGAGGATATGAACAGAAGACCATGAAACTAAGGAGAATGAGACTTAATCAGCTCTCTAAATGGTTTCAAATGTGTATAACCCGAGTTTGCTAGCATTACAAAATCTTTCCTGATCCAGAAAATTCCGGTATCGGGAGAAAGAAAGCTAAATAGTGGATAAAGCTCGAAGCCACATAGACATATCAAAGCTACATATCAATTACAAGAGCTATGCAGAAACTCCTCCAGATGAGCGTCTAGACTCCAACCATGCCTTTGCCGCAACACTAGTAGTCAAAAACCAGCCAACCTTATCCGGGGCTTCATGGAAAGGAGCATTTAGCTCCTTTAAGTGAGACTCGAAAACAGCTGCCAGACCTTTGTCTGAGTATTTGTGTTTTCCATGTCCAGTGTTGATTCCAAGCAATGGAGGGAACTCTTCACCAGATTCCAGAGCCGCCTCTGATAAGTCGTTTATCCAAACATGAAGAGCGGTCAAGGCTGCCCCCAGAGAGAGACTTTTTAGATGCAAGGACCATTGGGTAGCAGATTTCGATTGGAGACCTGTATAAATGTCATACTCAAGTCCTAGTTGTAGGATCTCACAAGCTCTTTCCAACTTATTGAGATTGACACAGAGATCAATCAAGCAGTTCAAATATGCTTTCTTTACATCAGAGCCAATGGAATCAATCAACTCAGATGTTTCCTTCTTGAACACCCCTTCCTCGCCGTTTTGCTCCTCGACCAACATCTTAACTTGACCAATGTTTTGTGGCTTAGCCTTCTCGACACAGCCAATGAGTTTACCGATTTCCTCACTCGGTGTCTGGGTCATTACATTCAGAAGACACCCACAAAATCTGTCGTCCGGAGTTATGCCCAGTTCCAACACTTGATCGAATGTCCTCACAACATCATCAACCTGCTTGGCTTTCCCATAACACTGGATAACTGATGTCAAAACAAAAAGAGTAGGCTCAAAACCAGCTTCTCTCATTTGAAGAAGAGCTGCCTCAGCCTCTGAAACCCTCCCACTGCAAGAGTACACAGTGATCAACGAAGAGAAGGTCCAGCTGTCAGGATCACAAGTCTCACAATTCTTCATATCTTGAAAAATCTCAAAAGCCTCATCCACATATCCAATATCAGCACACATGGACAAGAGAGTATTGTAAAGAATCACAGTTAAAGACAATCCTTTTTCCTTCATCTCTCGGTAGATAACAAGTGCATCATCGCCATAACGAGCTCTACCATAGGCTCTAATAAGAGCAGCATAAGTACTCCAATTAGGTGTAAAGCCATTGCTAATAAGATCCTTGTGGATAATCTTAGCCTGCCAAGGCCTCTTGGCTCTACCCATAGAATCTAACAACCTATTGTAAATAACCAGATTAGGCTTCACCCCAAGAGCCTTCATCTCTTCATAGATATTGAGACACCCATCATAGTTTCCAGAAACACCATAAATCCTAATCAAAGTCGAAAAAGTAACAGCGTCAATGCGCCATTTCTCAGTCCTTGCACGGTCATACAAACTCAAAGCCATCTCAACGTTACCAGCACGCCCGTAAGCATCAATCATAGCAGCCAAAGTGACATTATCAGGCTCACATCCAAAAGAAGACATTTTCTCAAACCATTCAACAGCTCTCTTAGGCACACCAGACTGCCTAGCACAGCTAATTATCGTAGTGAAAGTTGCATTATCCGGCTTAACCCCTCTCTCAAGCATTTCGTCGAACAGCTTCTCTGACTTTTCAAGATTCTTGCTTTTCCTAAACACCTTCAAGGTGACATTGTATAGAATCACTTCCCTGCTAGGTTTCATCGTCTCCAAGAGATTATTCAACACAATTGGCGCAGTTTCTGGGTTAGTCATGTTATTGAGAGTAACAACAGCATCTTGCTCAAACAATTTACCACCAAACCCAGTAATGACATCGCAAACATCAGCTTCGTTTGGCTTACACGAGTCAAGAGACTCAGCTAGTTTGATAAGAGAAGAGTACCTCGAATCGTAAGATTTTCTACGGAGCTGAGAAGCTCTGGGGCTTTTGGGATTAACCCAGACGTAGCTTTTGGAAGCTGGAGGGTCTGGTAAAGGAAGATCTGCATCATCAAGTTTGGATTTTTCACTCTGTGGAATCGCTTCTTGTACTGAAACATGGGTTACTTGGAGAAGGTTTCTGGAGTGGAAAGGAGAAGAGTTGGGATTGTAAGAGCAGAGGAAACTTCTTGGAGTGGATTTGGGATACACTGAGAGAAGATTGCAGAGAGGAAGAGGGTCATGAAGAAGAGATGAGGGAGAAGAACATAGATGATGAAATGACATTTTTTTGGGTTTGCAGCCTCGAGACCTTATCTAACAGCGAGAGTCTCTGCAACTTTGTAGAAGAAAAAGAATGAGAGTGAGAAGAGTTGTGTTGTTTTACTGTTCCTGTAGGTAACTGTGCGTTGTTTCTATGGTTTAAACCCACCATGTAGTGTGACTAACTTTCCACTAGACGATGGCGCATTGGGCTTGGAGATTACTAAACCGGCCCAATTAGAGTTACAGCAAAAAATAGGGAGTAGCAAGTTTTGGTGGAAAGGAGCATCTGGATTCTCAGCTCGTTCCACAGCTGAAGAAGTCACTCATGGAATCGATGGTACTGGTCTCACAGCTATTGTCACAGGTTTGTTTCAATTTCTACTTTTTTCCACAGTTTAATTTCTGCGTTTTGATCTTGCCCATGAACTCTAGTTGTTGTTGTATATGTTTAATGGATGAAAGGATTGGACTTTATTGGAATATTTCTATCAGGCTTGTAAGAACGTATCTTGAAGTAACAAATAAGATTTGGGTAATTATTGATGTATATGTTTTATTCGATTTTAGGAGCATCAAGTGGTATTGGGGAAGAGACTACTCGTGTTCTTGCTCTTCGTGGTGTTCATGTTATGATGGCGGTAAGGAACATAGATTCTGGTAATCAAGTTAGAGAAAATTAGGGTTTGTAGTCAGTTTGGTCAATGGCTCTTGGGCGTAAAAGAGGAATGAACAAAGCCATGGCGATAGGAGAGCTGATATTGGGTGATCTCGTTCTTGCTAAAGTTAAAGGCTTCCCTGCTTGGCCTGCTAAGGTATGTGTCATGCGCTCTCTCGCCTTCACGACGCTTTGGTTCATGATCATGATTTTTCGTTTTGGTCTTTCAAATATTATTGTTTGGATAAGTTTGGCTCTTCATATTGAATCAAGCTCTATTTGATCAATTTCTGTTTGCTCCTTAACTGGTAAAAATGAACAGAAACTAGAGTGTGAATCCTAAAACAAATGTTGTTGATGATGCGTTGATGCTTGATCTGCAATGTTAGGGTTTAGTTACTCGTATAAGATCGATTGGTGATGATGTGATGCAAACATGTTTACATAATTTTCACAACTGCATTTTTCTTGTGAATCGATCTTTTGGATGGATAAAAAACTGTCAGCTGCTGTTCTTGGTGTTGCGACTGCCATTTGGGTTATGTTCCTGGTTGAGTATCATTTGTTGAGTCTTTTGTGTCACATTTCGATACTCTCTTGGAGGCCTCTTTTTGTGGTTCAATGTTCACACATTTATTAACAAGACATTGTATAGTTTGTAACACAAACAACTTATACACATTTTTTGAAAATTTGAAATTTTTAGATCTTTACTTTTTGGATCCCACCATTGGACTGTCTCAAGATAAAAAAAAACACTCAAAAGTGTCTAAATTTTTTATTTTCCATTATTAAAATTATAAATCTTGTTTGGATCCCAATTTTTGGATCCAACCATTGAGGGTGCTCTAAAGGACTAGGGGCTAAAGAAGAGAGTTCCATGTTGAAAAGATTTTTTTCTATTTTTGTTGACATATGGTATTATGAGAGAACTTACATATACATTTTAGCAAAAAATAGAGTACCGGAAAAGAAGATTAAAGTTTTTGTTAGACATCGAAGAAGATTAAGTAGAAGTTATTTCATGGTTAAAGTTTGCCTAAAGATATTTAGATCAGTTTGCTATATATGTTCACGTGTTTAACTCTCAAAAAATCAAATTTGAGTCAACAAAAACTTTAATATCTTGAGACAGAGACATACAAATACATCATGTATATGTTATATATGATGAATTTTTCTCATATTATGGGCCATCTCAGTTTTAGTTGAGCAAGAAGATATTCAAAGATCGATAGGTTAGTGCTAAAAAAGTTATTTATTGCATGTTTAAAGTACAAATAGCACATTCGAACACCGTGTTCGGAACACGTGGCACATACGAAAACCATTCACATATGGGATGACGTGTCTTTGAATGTCTAAAATGGTTATAATCCTACCTTAGAACCGACATACAATCTTCGAACATGTATTTTCTGTAAACAATAGTCTAGATTCGATTTCTGACAAATCTACTATAGTTCTGCTTAAAGTTGACCTTTAACTATGCTTTCACACAGAAAAGAAATGTGAGAAACAACAAATTGTTGTGGACCATTTTTTTACACCCCTATTTTTTTAAACTTTTTACCCCAAAAAAAAAAAAAAAAAAACTGAAATTGTTTCATAGTACTAGCTTCGTACGTAGAATAAGGTAGTAGAGCTTTATGTGCACGAATCCTTCGTCAAACTTGAAATAAATAAGAAGAAAATGTCACACATCCCAATAATTCCACCGACACTACTTTGGAAATCGAAAAGAAGAAAGTTAATTCAGAGGTACAATCACAAAAAGTAGATTACGAATAAAGCGAAATACAGTAGTACTATTATTGGTTCATATAAAGAAGAAAATGAAACAATTTTCTTTTTAAGTGTTTTACAGTTACAAAATACAACGATCCTTCCTTCCTTATTGGTTCTCATAATCACAACATTACACGTAAACATCTCTCTATATATTTTTTTTAATTATTATTTGTATAAGAAAAAAAGATTAAAGGAAAAATAAGGATTTAAAGATAAAGAAGTCAATTCACATGATGGAACAGCTCTGTGGATTCTCTTCGCTGAAGTAATCACATCTAGTGACGTGGCAATGTCTATAAGCAGGTGGTGGTGGGCAGCCCCCACCCCAGCTCTCGTAGACTGGTCGGCCATAGCACTCGTAAGGCTGCGGCGGCGGCATTCCATATCCATTGAACGATGGCCCTCCGTATCCGTCGTAGTAGGGTCCACAACACATTGCTGGCTGCCCTTGCGGCATCATCGGGATCGCCACAGGCGGTCCCGGCTGCTTCGGGGCAGGACCGGGTGCTGGCGCAGGGCCGGGAGCGGGTGCGGGTTTGGCTGCGGGTGCTGGAGCGGGTTCTTTGGGCTTTTCGGGCTGTTTCGGCTTTTCGGGTTCTTTGGGCTTTTCAGGCTGCTTGGGCTTTTCAGGTTCCTTAGGCTTCTCAGGAGCTTTAGGCTGAGCATCTTTAGGTTTCTGGGGAGGTGGTTGTTGGGCTTGTGGCTGAGGAGGCTTGGGTGGCTCGACGATCTCGATGGTCTTTATGGAGCCGCCGCCTTTGGAACAGAGTTTGTCCATGATCTTCTCAGGACTGCAGCAAACCACTTTGATGATGACAATGTTGGACTTTTCATCGAACAATTGGTCTCTTATTTCTCTTGTTCCCAATCACACAAGTAATCCACTCAGTCCATTTCCTCACCAATCCAATCAAATCAAGAACCAATAATCCACACAAAAAAGTAAAGAAAAAGAGAGAAGTAACTCACGAGGGAATTTGCAAAGAACCTTCTTCACTTTCTTGTAACACTTGGCACAATCAAGATCCACCTTCAACTTCATCATAGTTACCTGTTTTTCAGATATCAACATCACTAAATCCTCAGTTTCTTCTGACATAGTAATTTTTTTTAATATAATCATATATACTTATGGATTTGACGTTTATAAGATCTAATTACTGAAAGAAACAACAAAAAGGGAGCAGAAGAACAGATTCGATCTCTGACACAAAATAGAAAAGGAGAAGAATCTGATCTCTTCTTTTCCTTTCTTATATTTTTTTGGTTTAAAGAGAATCTGATTTCTTCTCATAGTTTCCACAAAGTAGTAGCCACTCTTTTTTTGTTTAATCCATACAAAACAAACAAACATAACCCACATATACAAAAACCTCCTCAGGTTAATAATAAATAAACAAGAGATGACCACAAAGATGTTAAATATCCTTAAGACCCACATATATAAAATCAAAACTTTGTCCATTGACTGAATAAGAAAGAAGAGAAGAGAAGAAAAGAGAAGAGAACCTTTTCCTTCCCCTTCTCGGCCATGGCTTCGAATGAAGAGCTGAGATCTGAGATCTGAAATCTGACGGTGGCTTTAGCTTAGAGTCTACTTCAAGAGAGAGAGAGATTGGGTGGTGGTGAGAAATGTAGCTTTTTATAATACAGACTCAAATCCCACTACACCAACCATGTTTTGACACGTGTTCTTAGTTGGCGTCGATTTTGATTAATCAAAACTCTTTTGTTGATTTAAAAAAAAATGTTGGCAGGTACAATAATGAATCACCAGAACCCTTTTCACATCTCTAACCCTTTTCATAGTTGCCATTATTTGACTTAACCCAATCTTTCTTTCTTTATTTGTTTTGTTTTAGTCTATTACCAAATGATATTTTTACTGCTCATCCTAAATTCAATGTTTCTTTACTAGTTTAATACATTAACATGCAAGAAATAAAACTAAACTATTTAAGGAAGGAGTGGGAAGTCGGCTATTCAATTTCTCAATCATTCTTCCTTCAACGCAACTCTTTGTCTCCTTCTCTTCTTTTTCTTTTTGTTACTCATTTGCTTAATTAAAAAATGGTAAAGAATCTTTGTAATTGTTTCTCTCCAGCTCGATTAATCAACCACTCCAATAGTCCAATTCCCACATCACATGCTTTGTAATCATCTATAGAAATAGGTAAATTTAATTTGTATGTATTATCTTATGATATTTTCACTAACGAACAAATGGAGCAATCATCATCATCATCAATTCTTCATACGTAAGAAGAAGATAGAAGGAGAGATAACAACAATAAATATAGCTGGAAGATTCGTCACATGCAGTATAGTTTAGTTGGTAGAATAAAACACTTTTATTTGGGCATTTTATATTTTACAAAGGCCAATCGAAAAATGTCTTAAAGAATTTGTGATGAATATATATTGGTATATGAGTTTGAATAGATGGGGTCATGAAACCCAATGGGTGTTTCGAAGTACAAAAACATAACTCTTATTGGACTCTCTACTTTAGATAAGAATCTCCACTCCTACTCTCCAAGTCTAGTGGGCCGTTTCACGTTCTTTTTCATACACAACTACACAAGTGTATGTATGTCTAAATTAGGGGTGTGGGAGTTCCGATTTGATTTGAGCTTTTTTTTGTCAGTTTGGATTCGATTCGTTTCAGTTAATCGGGGTTTATAATACTTAAGCAGGAGACTAACCAAAATTCAGTTCGGTTCAGTTTGTATTTGACTTTGTTTCACTATGGTTAGACATCTACCTCTAACCATAGTGTCACCAAATATCATGGAAACGATATGATCTGTTCAATTCTTAAAAATAGATGAAGCTTTGCAACATCTTTCAAATCACCTCTTTTATGGATCTCTTAGTACAACTTAAAAAAAAAAAACTATTTGATGGAAGATATATTTATTCTTAAGAATTTCTTGTGCATCCATAACATTACATTTAGTTATAAAATAATCAACACAAATTTAAAACTATACAAAAATATTGACATCATAAAATATAATTCAAGTGTCTGTCCCCTTTTCGAGCTATTATTATATCCGTTAGAATAAACTAAAATGAACAATAAAAATTTATAAACGAGCATTGGTTGAGAGGAAAAACCCATTGTGAAGTGAATCACATTCATATCTAAAAAAGAATTCGACCATACATTGCACACTAGATTTTCCTTTTTTGATACATTTATTTATAAACTAGAAAACCGAATTATCCAAACCATAACATTAGTGGAATCATGCTTGTTCCTTCTCCGTTGTGTTCATAGAATCAAAATTTTGCAAACTACAATTAACATCTTTAATCATTAGATTATAAAAGTTAAGAAAATGTACTTTTGATAACACTTATAAATTTTAAAACAAAATACTTTTTAAGATCAAATATCACATATATCAATTTGTTTACAAATGCTATTATAGCGATGTAACGCGGCTACACGGGTACAAATCTAATTAAAAATGAAATAAACATATATATTGGGTTATTATACCTAGTTCGGTTCGAAGAAAGTCTTAACCAAACAGTTACAATTCTATATAAGAACTCATCTAATTATCAGTTTGTTTCACCTGTAAATATGGGATTATTATATCATGACCAATTTGTTAGGAATGTTCATAAGTCGATACAGTTTCATGAAACAACGATACACTTCAACAATGTGTTTGTTTCAATGACGATCATGCATGCCTATCAAATAATGGTATTCTAATTAAGTACCAAAGTGGCTATACTAGTTTATGATGTGTTAAGTTTTTTTACGGCAACTTTAATCGAGTTTTTTTTATATATATATTTTTAATTTTTGGTGTTAATTATGTATTTTCAGTTTATCATTTTTGAGGTCATTGTAAGTTCTATATGTTATTCTTATATTTTAGAATTTCAATTAAATTAGGATCTATGATTTTTAATATGAATTTATGTACCTAGAAATATATTATATAATTTTGTTTAGGTATAAAATGATAAATATGAAAATTGAAGGAGTACTTTGTAAATTAAAAAATTGTTGGAGCAACACTATTCATATCTCTATATTTTGAGCAAGATATAAAACACCGTTGGAGTGATTTACACCAAATACAGAGTTAGAGCAACACTATTCATATCTCTATATTTGGAGCAATATATAAAGCATCATTGAAGTGATTTTACACCAAATATAGAATTGGAACCAAGATTTGAAGCACCAATGGAGATGCTCCAAGCTCGGAACAGTCTACCAATTATGAAATAAAATAAACTTATATCTGTACCGACGAATGTATAAAATAGTAATAAATTGTTAATGATAAAAATTATCTTTTAATTCTTTTTTTTTGGTAGTAAAAAAAATATCTTTTAATTCATCTTAGGGAAAACACATTTTTAACCCTCAAAGTGTTACTGGATAACACTTTAAACCTCGAAAAAATTTCACTAACACTATAAACTACCAAGATAATTTTACTAACACTTTAAGACTCCGAACTAGCTTTTATGTTTGTCCCGCCGTAAAAAATGATGGAAATTTAATTTCTATTTGTTTAATATACATTAATTTAATTTAATTTAAATATAAATTAATTTTATTATTTATTACAATTAATAAAACTTTAAAAAGACAAAAAAAACTTCACCTTCTTTGTTTACTCACCGTTCGACCATGAAATTTCAAAATTAAACCTCTGAATCTATAGACTTAAGCACAAGAAAGTTTATAGTATAATAATATAAACCAAATAATGTAGAATATGAGGTACAAGAGAAGCATAAATAGAATAATAAAAACCAAAGAATGTCAAAGTTTAATCAGAAAACGAAACATTCTTCGTATTGGGGGAATCTACTTTTTTTTTTTTTACTTTTCTTAATAATCGTAAAATCATAATAAATAATAAAATTAATTAAAATTTTAAATTAAATAAATTTATATTAAACCAATATAAAATAATTGTTTCATCATATTTTATGGTGGTGCAAACATGAAAGCTAGTTTGGAGGTTTAAAGTGTTAGTAAAATTATTTTGGCAGTTTATAGTGTTAGTGGAATTCTTTCCGAGTTTAAAGTGCTCCTAGTGACACTTCGAGGGTTAAAAATGTAATTCCTCATTCATCTTATTAACCAATCTTATTTATTTGTACCACCATTTTGCTTATCCTTTTCAAATTAGTTTTTTTTTTTATAAACCGATGCAACTAAAAGAGAGATCACAAAGTGTAATCAATATTTTTAAACACATTGGATCAATACAGGTTTTGCTGGATTTTTCCGAATTTTATCAGATTTATAGTTAATGGATTTTAGTATTGAATATGAATCGGATTATTGACGAAATCACCGAGTTTACCGGTCCGACTATGAGTTCGGATTAGGTTTGAAAACACCAGCGCCGACAGTAAAGAAAGTTATTTTGTGATATCCAAAATGTGAAGACGATAAAAATGTATTAAAATACTCATTTGTGCATACATACCATTTAGTCCTTTAATATCAATTGTTGGAACCTTTCACAACTTCGTGATAAATTAGTAAATTACAGAATTTGTTTTTTAAGAACAAAAAATATTTTTCCTTCTAAATTCATTGATATCAAATCAAGATTACAAAGTTAGTTTACAGAAACTTTTGAAAACAAATTATTACATAAGCAGATATATGCATCACATTTTAAGAAAGATACACAAAAAGAAGTGAATTTGACGATATCATACTTATGAACACTATTTTGAAAAATATAAAAGCTGTGTTTTCTAAAAAAACCAATTCCACCGTAATAAATTCTTCATACACCAAAAACTGTTAACAATGGCAGGAGAAGTGATTCCTTGCCACACACACGAAGTCTAGAACAATAAGGTCAAATCCGCCAACGAATCCAAGAAACTAGTACTTTTCTCTTCTCTTGTCTTTGAGTTTTCTTGATGATGTTCTTCAAAATTCTGTTTTGTTCTAAAATTTTGACTGAAAAAGATTGTGATAGACTGATAGACTTCACTGCGACATGATGCCCTCCTTGCCGTTTAATTGGGTCAGTGTTTGCAAGTATGGCTAAGAAGTTCACCAATGTTGTCTTCTTCAAGATCGATGTTATGTAGATGAATTGCTATATGTTGCTCAAGAATTCAAAGTTAAGGCAATGCCCACTTTTGTTTCCATGAAAGAAGGCGAAATCCTGGATCATATTGTCGGTGCCGAAAGAGAGGAGATTCATGAGACGCTGTTGAAGCATGGTGGTTTTGTGTTAAGCACTGAATACGTATTCTCTTATTGCTTAATGATGAATGTCATTCAAAGCAGAGACTAGATAGCATCATCTTCTCTAGCTCACTACCCACATAGAGACTAGATAGCATCATCTTCTCTAGAACAGAATAACATGTGGCACCTACCACTATTACTAGCTAAGACTATACCAAATTATACACAATTCTCTAGGTACTATGCAGAAGTTCATTTCAACCAATAGATGCCCCATTGAGCTGCATTAGTAATCTGCTACATTTCTGAAATAAAAGTATACACATAAAGGCAATGGAAGAGATGTTGAAAAGGCTTGTTTCTTGTCGTAAGAGCAAAAATCAAAAGCCTGGAACCAACACTACAAGAAATATGAGCATTGATAGCACATTACGATAGCACAGTTTTCGTAACTGCTATTAAAGATAGTATTT